AATGAAATAAGGGCTGCTGCAGACTGATTGCGAAAGATCAGGTTCCGCTTTCGGTTGGCAATCCCGGAGGCCAAATAAGACATCATCATGCTGGTGGGCAAGGTCAACTCTTGGAAAAACGATTGGCCACTATCTTTGGAGTTGAGTTGAATAGGTAGCAATAAGTCTGGCACATCATATCCAGGCCAAACTCGGCGATGGAAGTCTTGCCAAGTTGGCATCGCAGTTGATTTTGCTTGCCTAAGATGTGACTCGATGACTCACAGTGTCAAGCAATTAGGGATTGTGAAAACCGATCATGCGACTGTTGAAGCCAAATCACGGGCAGTGTTTCGAAGCTTTTGGATTTCCTCTGGGGTGTCCCCTTTGGTGCTTTCGCCGGAGATCAGGTGCAATACCCGGAAAAGGACCCACTCTGATTGCCTTTCTCCGCCTGGTTGAGCTGGGTACACAGCTAAGAAGCGATTGCCCAAGTGCAAATAACCTTAGCTGCTCATCCTGGCAGCGAGCGCGTGACCGAGGGAAATCAGAAAATAGAAAATCAGTTCACAAACTCCTTACCATGGTCAACCTAGTGGCGCATGTGAAGGTAAGGATCATTGCCCCCACCAGGCACCGGATCGTGGCATGGCAGTGGAGCTGCCATCCCCTGCTACCTACCCCTTCCTAATCATGAGCCCAAAGTCTAACCAAAACCCGAGAAGGTTGCCTTGTGCTAATTGGAGTCCCTTTTTTGGAAGCCAAGGTGGTGCAGTAACCCCCTTTGCCCCCCCCCCAAACGAATACATGATATTTACAATGAAAGACCAGGTGTTTCAAGATACACTCACAGGTTTGGGCAGTTGCAGGCCCACGCGCCGGGTCCTGGGGGTCCAGAAGGTTCCGGGCTCGTGGAGCGGTGTGCTGGCATGTGGTTGCAAAGGGGAACCCGAGTCTCGGACCCTATTTCGTGGTTTCAAAAGGAAGCCAAACGGAAAACCCACCGTTTTGGTAGCAAAGTTTCGTGGTTTTAAGGGAAGCCTAAAGCAAAGCACCTTTGTTTCAGCACTACCGATGACCAGAACCAACAAACTTGGGAAGGGCGATTCTATCAGCCCCTCCAAAACCCCTCCGGCCGCCCGCAGCAGCTCCGACTTCCTCAGAACTCTGAACGTCTCCAATTTGTAAGGGTAGTTTGAGGGTTCAGAGAACCACTTATCTTTACTGCTGTTGGGTTGGATCTGACTTTAACTTTTTGGGAAATAAAGGTGTTGTCCACTTTGGATCTGGCTTTAACTTTGTGGGCTACTAACCCCCCCCAAAAAGTTAAGCTTGTTGAAGGGGGGTCAACAGCAACCAAGTTATGTAAGGGTTTGTTTGCTGCCTCAGAAGCTTATAATATTCCACATGCTTCAATACCTCCAGCACCACGCAAAAGTTGTCTATTGACATAGGTGCCTATTCAGTCTTGCCTAGGCGCCCCATAGAGTTCTACCATTTGCAGCCTGGGTTCAAACATCAATCCGCAAGTTCCTTCCAGGTTGCTTCCATGTCAAACTGCTGGATTGCGGATTCGGAATCCCGGCGTGTTGAACCCAGCGGATGCTTGTAGGCGGGTTCCCTTGGTTTCTTATGGGAACTGGTTCCCTGGTTGCACGTAGCCGAAATCCTTCTTTGTGCAGGTTCCATGTTATCATGGTTGTTGTTGGGAAACATTTTCCACATTTCTGCTTATTGTGGTTTAGTGGTTGAAATCCCCACTCAACTGTTTTTTTTTTTTTGCTCCCCTTCCAACGTCAACCAAGTTATCGGCGCCCCTAAAAAATGTGCTCCCTAGTGTATGATGTCAACCCCTGCCGAGTCATGGCCATGAACCGCCTGTTTTTCAAAAAGATACCAACTCAAAACAGGCGGGGTAGTTGGAGGTTACGCGGGTTTGTGTTTGTGTTTTCCCTTTAGCGTCCAAAAAGCAAGGGTCTGAGGTCTGAGTATCACCCAGGCAAGTTCTATCAGAGAGTTGGGGGTTACGGGGTGAGCTTGAGCCCAAGCATCGCCGAAACCGGTGCTCTGCTTCAGCGAGGCCTCAGGATGGAGGGCGCTGGCCGTTTGGAAGGCCGCAAAGTTTGGAGCGCTGGTGGGCTGTAGCCCCAAACTGGTCCTCCAAAACTCTCAGGCTCCATTTCTGGAACTGAGTCAGTTGAGGTAGCAAGAATCTGGGTAAAGGGAAATCAAAAGGCGGTTGTTCAAGGCCAAACCCCGGTCACCATACGGCTAGCCAAATAGGCTCCCTTTAATCGGAAAACGCAACAGAGATGCTGTTTGAGCGTTTGAATCGCCACAAAACCCTTTGGTTTGGTAGCGCCATTCTATCACCTATCAGGGAGAAAGTGTCCGGACACTGTCATTTGATTCCCGTCAACACCGGCGCCCCGCTTTAAGAGTTTCATCAAGAATCATTCATGCTGAGAAAAAGGATCTTTTTCTGACATGTTTCGGTTTTAACCTGCTCCGTGGCAGAAAGCAATGGTGCACATGGAGCACTGCTGTGCGCAGGTTTTATCCACCAGTATTTTGCAGCTACAGAGCTAGGGGCTATTTGGGATACTTGATAGCAAACCTAGAATCTGGGACTGGTGATCGACCAAATGCGTCAAACGGGTCGATGATTTGCCAGATCCTTGCCCCATACCTTGAACTGCGTAGAATTTGACTGCAGAAGATTGGGATCGCAACGAGGAATCGAGTAGATCCTGAAGAAAACAGTTTTCCAATGCAAAGATATGTTTTGTTTCGCAGGGGCTGATATCATCCCAAGCAAGTTGGTATGCTTCGTCTGTGATGCTTCTCATGGCTCAACTCCTCACTGTGTGCTGCAGGCTGAGCGCAATTGCCATTCTGTTCGCTGGGGGACGGCCATGGGGCGCGTTCGGAAAGTCACTGGTGAGGAGGCGCTGACGGAAGAAGAGTTCGCGGCATGGTGGAAGCAGCACCACCTGCAACGTGACAGCTTTGTAAATGCGCTTAGGCGCCGTGTGGCCCGACAAATGAAGATCGGGAATTTCCGGCTCCTCGCGTTGGTCTGCGGCGATCAGGTGTTGGGAGCAGAGAGCCCATGGATGGATGCCGAGCTGGTGGTGGTCGTCCGGCCTTACAGCACAGATGGCCAGGATGAGTTGTTTAAAGCAGTGGGCGTAGGGGACATGGAAACGGTTGTGAGCCTCTTGGAGAAACCGCTTGACCCTGAAGATCGTAACAGAAGCATGTTAGCTTTGCATTTTGCCGCCATGAATGGCCATGCAGGCATTGCACGCTGCTTGGTGCAAGCTGGCGCTGACAAGGACGTTGCCAATGATCTCGGGTGGACGCCAATGCATTTTGCCGCCTCACATGGCCACAAAGACACCGTGCGCTGCTTGCTGGAAGCTTGCGCTGACAAGGACAAAGCAAACCTGGGCGGATACACACCCATGCATTGCGCTGCGACGAGTGGCCACAAAGACACCGTTGGCTGCTTGGTGGAAGCTGGCGCTGACAAGGACAAGGTGAACCATGCTGGATACACACCCCTGCACGAGGCCGCCAAAAGTGGGCACGAGGACATTGTGCGAAGCTTGGTGAAAGCTGGCGCCAAGGACAAGGCCAACTACAGCGGAGCCACTGCCATGCAGGTGGCCGCTACATATGGCCACGAAGATATTGCCAAGTTCCTGTTGCAACACGCGCGCATGCGTACATGCTGTTCGCTGTTATAGGCGTCTCACGAGCTCCCCGTGTCACCTTCACGTCCCAGCAGGCAAGCCAGCTCGCCAAAAGCCGATCTGTTGACATTTGGTGTCCCGTTTTCGGTCCATGTCCCATAATTGACTCGCCGTGGGTCAAAAATGGGTACCCAAAATTGAACGCTTGTAAATGGAACCAAGGACTAAAACCTGTGGTCCAATTCCCGGTGGTTTAATTTTGACCCAACTGATCTTGCAAGGCTTATCAGAGTTGCTGGTTTAATTTTCCAGGGCTCCTTAAAACACATTGAAACATTGCTTTTTCCACCAAAATACAGGGAAACCACCATTTACTTAAGGCAATGTTCAGGTGTATAATGTAAGGATCCCTGTTCCCTTTGGCAGATGCTTCGAGACGTTGCTTTTGGCGTCCGCCTGTCCATCGTTTGAAGACCCGAGCGTTCTCCGTGTCCATCTGCGAATTGTGCCCACTCCTGTGTAAAGTGCAAAGAGCCAAAAAGGCAAGTGGTGCAGAAAGAGTGATCTACCACACCAAGGCCTGGACAATTGTTTGGTTCCCTTGGCTTTCTTTAAGGGCGCCATTTGGTTTGTCTCGAAGAGGAACCCCGAGAGGGGCGGTTGGCGGTCTTGCAAAACAGTTGTTACAACAAAGACACCGATTTCTCCAGACTGCATATTAATATATATATATATATACATACACATGTCCAGACCCCCTGTTTAGCGTACTTAGCACCCGATAAGATTGAGCCGTTCGTGGTTACTTGGCGGGTGGGTCATTGTCATTTTTGCGACACATGGTTGAGCCCGAGTGGCAAAAGGCTTATGTTTTTCGCTTCCATGGAGGAGACAAGAGGGATTTCGAGCCCCGCGCAAGGCGCAATAGAAGAAGTGACGGAGCTCCAAAGCCGCCTTGGCAGGCAGGGAAGGTGTTTGGATCCGTGGGTACGCGTATTTTGCGGGAAATGAGCCGACTTGTCCCCACCGAACAGCCACCAACTCAGGTTTTGCATATTAAGTGAACCATCCGGAGTTGTATAAATCTACTTTGCCCCTTGGTCGCCCTTGTTCAGAATACTTTCCTCGACCGACAGAACTCACCTTGAAACTGGCCGAGCGTTGCCAACATACTTCCGGACACCTCCAAGTACTCTGCTTTTTTCAGGTTATGATGGTCGACCTGTGACTCGTGACTAAATAAATATGTATTTACCATGAGAACCCACAGGTTGTTCAAATGATGCATTCCAGCGCTCAATCATCACTTTGTAGCTTCGCGCCATGGGGCGCGTTCGGACAGTCGCTGGAGAGGAGGTACTGACGGAAGAGGAGTTCGCTACATGGTGGGAGGAGCACCACCTGCAACGTGACAGCTTTGTAAATGCGCTTAGGCGCCGAGTGGCAGGACAGATGCAGATCAGAAACTTTCGGCGTCTCGCCTTGATCTGCGGGGAGCAGGTGTTGGGAGCAGGGAGCCCATGGATGGATGCAGAGATGGTGGCCGTTGTTCGGACGTACAGCACGGATGGCCAGGATGACTTGCTGCACGCAGCGCGCAACGGTGAAACGCTGGAGGTTGTTCGCCTTTTGGGTAGGCCCTATGACCCAAACCTCGAGGCCGTTGACGGCAGCACGCCCTTGCATGGTGCCGCCATGCATGGCCACAAAGATACGGTCTGCTGTTTGGTCGAAGCTGGCGCTGACAAGGACAAGGTCAACCTTCAGGGAAACGCGCCCATGCACGTTGCTTCCCTGAATGGCCACAAACACATCGTAAGTTGCTTGGCGGAAGCTGGCGCTGACAAGGACAAGACCGGCCATTACGGAGGCGCGCCTATGCACGTGGCCGCCAAAACGGGCCACACAAACATCGTGCGTTTCTTGGTGGAGGCTGGCGCTGACATGGAGAAGGCCAACTACGACGGAGTCACACCTATGCATGTGGCAGCCGCACGTGGCCACGAGGACATCGTGCGCTACTTGGTGGAGGCTGGCGCTTCCAAGGACAAGGCCAACCGATTCGGTGCCACGCCTTTACGCTTGGCCATTGAAAACGGCCACAAAGACATTGCAGAGTTCTTGTTGGCAGCAGGCTTCGCGCCTCCATGACAGCAGCCTTGGTTTCTCGTGCCTACAAAGCTTGGGGCTGAGGCAAAAAAGTCGGGAGGAGGGGTGAGGTCCTGCACGAAACTGCCGGCCCACTTGAAAGCACCATACATGGACGGGCGCAGAAGCACGCCATGACGACGCAATGCTGCGAATGCCACAAAATGACCAACTGCGCTCCGATTCACGCAGCCATCAGTCATGAATAGCGATCCGCACAAGTCCACACGTGTGTTTTGCGAAATATTCTACTTCAAGCGTCAGCAGCGGAACCGTAATTCGCCTGCTACTTGTGTGCTTGGTGATTGATGATTGCCATTTTTGAATGTGCTTTGTACACTGCGTATACAAACAAGTTGCAATGTTTCAGCTGGCTCTATAGGAGCAATTGCGTTTTTTTCGGGCTGGAACTGCGTGGAAACATACACTTTGCATGCTTTGCTACGTTTGCATTTAACGCTTGCGACGTTTTGGCAGCTGCGGCGGCGTAGTTACCATGCTCGCGCAGCAACTTCCGGGTCCGACCCGAGGTCACAACCCGGGTGGCTTGGAATCTCAAACTACCCTTTAACAAAAGGAAACGGAAATCACGGTTTGGGAAAAGCGGCGAATGTTCTCTGCGGTTCGCAGCTCTTTCTTCCGGTACAGTGTTAGTCAGGCGAGCGCGGATGAGTACGAGTCGGGAAACATCGAGTAAGCTCTCATGAAGGAAGGCGCAGGGAAAAGACGGAGTATCCGAATAAATAAATAAATAAGAATTACATATTTGCCCACGTTCACCCTCCAAATGGGTCAGATGTTGTAAATATTTCCTACATGGATTGTGTGGGTTGGATGTGATGGTTGGGATTTAGGATTTGATGGGATATGACTGGATGAGCCTTCCAGCATGTAATATGATTTAATATGGGGTTGGGCTGGGGCGATTGCTTTTGCCACGGGGCGGGCAGGCAGGAACAGGCCGCAGGGTCTCAATCAGATGCCCCCAAGGCTGAATTGAAGTAAAGGGTTACCCCACAGGAGTGGGTGGAGCAATCCGATGTCCTCAAAAGCTACTGGCGGCCAACGTGAATGGTTGTAGGGTTGTTGGAGTCTGTTTTCTTTGAACCGCTGCCAAAAGATGGTTGGCGACCTTCAAGCTCTTGGCACCAACTTTGCCAGTGAGCGAAACTTGCGAGTAGGCCCGGGAATTAGTTCGCGGCAGTATGGCTTAATCCAGTGAAGTGCGCTTTTCCATGGGGCGCGTTCGGACAGTCGCTGGAGAGGAGGTACTGACGGAAGAGGAGTTCGCTACATGGTGGGAGGAGCACCACCTGCAACGTGACAGCTTTGTAAATGCGCGTAGGCGCCGAGTGGCCGGACAGATGCAGATCCGGAACTTTCGGCGTCTCGCCTTGATCTGCGGGGAGCAGGTGTTGGGAGCAGAGAGCCCATGGATGGATGCAGAGATGGTGGCCGTTGTTCGGACGTACAGCACGGATGGCCAGGATGACTTGCTGCGAGCGGCGCGCAAGGGAGAAATGTCAAAGGTTGTAAGCCTTCTAGAGACGCCGTACGACCCAAACCTCGAAGCCAGTGATGGCAGCACTGCTTTGCACTACGCCACTGTGCGTGGCAGTGAATTTATGGTGCGCTGCTTGGTGGAAGCTGGGGCTGACAAGGACAAGGCTGATCTTCGTGGATACACTCCCATGCATGTCGCTGCCCTGACTGGCCGCGGATACATCGTCCGCTGCCTCATGGAAGCTGGCGCTGACATGGACAAGGCCGATGACAACGGAGAGACACCCATGCACGTGGCAGTCACGCGTGGCCATGCAATGATCGTGTGCTACTTGCTGGAAGCTGGCGCTGACAGGAACAAGGCCAACAATTTGGGAGCCACGCCCCTGGACGTGGCTTTTGAAAGCGGCCACGAAGACATTGCACAGCGCTTGTTGGCGGGCAGCTTTCCACCCCGCCATCCCGGCCCGCGCAAGGCTGGGGGCTGGAGAAAAGGCGGTGCGCAACGAAGGAACTTGAGGCCTTGGGAAGTGGCCTGTCAACACAAGGCTTTGTGTCACTTTGTGTCATTTTTTGCGGGTGTGGTTTTTGTCTAATCTTTTGGTGGTCCTTTCAAACTGAGCCACAAAGGGGTTCCCCAAGAACGCACAGCCTCATGATGGCCCTCATGTAGATCTGTTGCACGGTTTTGGTAAGCAAAAGGTGCTGCTTTCCTTGGGCCAATCCACATCGGAAGTCAGGACAGGGCAATGTTGGCTGATAGGAGTGCCGGCCGGTCTCCGCCACCATCAAGCGTCGTGGGACAATCAGGTCAATTCACAAAAACCAGATTAGTGACGGACCTCTTGGTTTCAGGCCACAGTCAAATTTGGGTATCTCGCCCTAAAGGATATAACCTCACTTCCTGAGTTCATGAACTTTAAACTTTTGGGAAGACCATTTTAGTGGTAAATACAAATTTTGGACTTTTTTTGGGCCATCCACTCAGCCAGTGAGTAACCTTTTTCTGGGGCTTCCCCTGCATTTTTTTCAGACACGATTTGGACACCGGGAGTTCTCCAGCCCTCGAGGTGTGGCGAGACGGCAGGTCTGCCGGAAGGCATAGCAGAACCGACCAGACCCCCCAAGCTTTCAAACCTCTACACCAGCCATTCAACCAGGCTTTTGAGTCAATTTTTGAACCAACCCTCAAACTAATCTTGAACCTTCCAATTTAGAGCTTTGCTTTCCTTTCGGTTTCCCTTGCGGCATCGCTTTTCGCTCGCCATGCGTGCGCTTGTGGCGTTCTTGGCCCTGCTGGGCGCTGTGTTCGCCAAGCGGGAGCACAGCGGCCGGGAGACGACGCCGAATCTGATGCTTCTGCTGGCAGATCAGTTCCGCTTCGACTTGCTGGAGGACCAAGGGGATGTGGTGCCCAAAGCTCCCTGCTGATATGGTCATTTCTCCAGTTGTGGCGTGGTGCCGGTTCTATGCCGTTCCCCTCAGTTCAGGGAACCTCATTCATGCCATTGCCTTTTTGATACTCAAGGAACTCCCTTCAAAGTCAAGTAGTTGTGCGAACGAAACCACTCTTCACATGCTTGTTTGCTTGTTTGTTTGCTTGCATGCTTGTTCGCCTGTTTGATTGCTTGCTTGCTTGTTTGCGTGTTTGCTTGTTTGCTTGTGTGTTTGTTTTCATGATTGCATGTTTGTTTGCCTGTTTGTTTGTTTGTTTGCTTGCTTGCTTGCTTGCTTCCTTGCTTGCTTGCTTCCTTGCTTCCTTGCTTGCTTGCTTGCTTGTTTGCTTTCTTGCTTGTTTGCTTGTGTGTTTGTTTGCTTGTTTGCTTGCTTGCTTGTTTGCCTGGTTGTTTGTTTGTTTGTTTGTGTGCTTGTTTGCTTGCTTGTTTGCGTGTTTGCTTGTTTGCTTGTGTGTTTGCTTGCTTGTTTTCTTGCTTGCTTGCTTGTCTGTTTGTATTTGTTTGTTTGTTTGCTTGTTTGTTTGCCTGGTTGTTTGTTTGTTTGTTTGTTTGTTTGCTTGCCTGCTTGTTTGTTTGTTTGTTTGTTTGTTTGTTTGTTTATTTGATTGTTTGTTTGCTGGCTAGTCACGTTCGTGCTTACCTTCTGGGCTGTCGATTTGGTTTCGCCCCCGTGGTTCACCCCCTCGCAGGAGGAGTCTCTGCCCAACTTGCGGCGGCTGGGACAGGAGGGCGCCAGCTTCCAGGCGACTTCGCCGTTGGAAACGGGTGAAAACTGCCCATGGGGAGACCTCAGTCCTTGCATTGGCTGAAGTGAATATTATGTTTTATCTTCCCTTGTTGGTTTTCAAGGGAATCTATCACTACTTGAAGTATTTTCATTTTTGTTTTCTGGGGGCTTAAGCAAATGGAAGAGTGCCTGAGTTTTCGGACCTTAGACTGTTGGGAAGATGAGTTCAGACTCTCAACTACCTAGGGCTTCAAGAACCTGTAAAAATGTCGTACCCTGACTAAAACATCGTGTTTTTCTCGATTTTCTGAAAACATCGTGTTTTCAGGAAAAACATCGTGTTTTTGATAAAACCCCTTAAAAATGGGCTTCTGAGGCCAAACACTCATTTGGAGCAAAGGGTCAAAGGCAAGGGTCGGGAGTGGATTCACACAGACATCACCCATTAAGATTTCAACTGAGGGCAACGCTCTATACTGAGTATGCTTCAAATTCTAAGGACCACATTGATGAGCCTGACAGCCAGGGTGTGCAGCTGGCTTCAGTCTTGAAGTACCTTTCACAGCAACAGGCACCTGAAGACTGGCGCCAGGTCATACCGAACCAGTTTGAAGGGGGTGCTGGAATCCGAAAGCTCCTTTTGGTGCAAAACAAGACCAGGTGACACTTTTGAGATTGTTTTTATCAATTTTGAGTTTTTTTTAGCAAATGGGGCGGGATCCTGGCGGCTAACCGCAGAAACCCGCAGAAAACCCGTAGAAACCCATAGACAACCCGTAGAAACCCGTAGAAAGCCCGCAGCCCCAACCGAAAACATCGTGCTTTTGGAAAACATCGTGTTTTCTAACCCGTAGCTAAACCGTGGAGAACCCGTAGTAAAGCGTGGCAAAGCGTGGAAATTCTATGGGTTTTTCGGGTTCAACCACGAATGCGCTAATTCGAGAATGTTGCTGGAAAACAACGAAGTCGTGAGCAAAGCACGGTCTTTGCTTGAGCTTGCGCGCTGTTCGAAGCCAGCACGCCCTCATCATGGCACTGCTGCTTGACAAGTGTCATAAAACCGTGGTACTTTTGACTATTTGGGTCCCCGGCCTCCTTCTTTCAGGTTGGAGTTGCGAAAGACGAGTGGCGAATGCGAGGCTGATTTCGTTGCGAGTGCAAAAGGGGAGGGCGATGGGAGATTCTGAGGTTGAGATGATGCTTTTGAGATCTTTTGAGAACGGATGACGAGTTGAAGGAATGTATGGGAAACTGCTTGAAATCGAAAATGCGGTGTTTCCCGAAAACATCGTGTTTTCTTAAAAAACATCGTGTTTTTTGTAGGTATGACATTTTCATCGGTTTTTGAGGCTCCTGGTACCCTTGACAGTTGAAATTGGACACCAAAAAGGGCGAGTTCTCCCTAAGGTGGCTCTTTTCCGTACAGGTTGAGGCTTAGGCTTGATGGCCAATTGAATTTGCTTGGGGTAGTGGGGTACCTGGCTGACTGGGCCCAGCGCGGGAAGGGGCGAGAAGGATATCGGGTGACTTGCTCGGAGATATTTCCAGTTGGCTTGTTTCCAGGTTGGTGTTTTTTTTCGGGGGGGCTGACCCCCAAGATGACCTTCCGAAACCATGGCTCCCGATGGAACTGAAGAAGCTGCCAAGGGATTCCAAACATATGAACTTTGCTTTGGCGGGGTTGCCGAAGCAGACCTCGCTCTATTGATCACCTCCACACCGCTAGATATGGACCTGGCGTCGCCTTCAAGATTGTGGTATTTCAGCGTGACGGAATACAGACCAGATAAGGCCTTAGGGTCTTAATATTTGGAAGCCAGGGACGCGGTTGCAGTAAGCTGTTTGGTGTATTTGCTTGGCCAATCCACTCAGGACGTGACAGACTGTTTTCCACTAACATGTGTCAAGCTTCTGATTTTTGGACAAGCATGATGGTTAAGCAGGATGGACAAATGAATCAACCCCCAGAAAACAGTATGACATCTCAGTCCCTGGACTGACGCCGTCACCCTTCCATGGGCCCGGATTCAGAGGCATAGTCACCTTGGGGGTCGAAAAGCACGGCGGAAAATTCACATTTGCCAGCTTCAAATGGTGTAGATCTCCTTTAAACGTCACCCACAGTAAATTGATTTCAAAAGGTTGGTATAGTGTTTCGTTGTTTGATTCCCGCAAGGTAGACTTAAACTGGGGGTGGCCTATTTCCTCAAGAAGAGAACCACTTCCTGGGATTATCTCTGTTAGAATCACAACTGGAACCCTCTGTGGAACAGTGGGGAGTCGAAAAGCAACCAACTACAACCAGCACTATGCTATTCGCAGTTGCTTTTAGTTTTTAGTTTGTTTGGTTCTGTTCATTGTTAGTAGGGGGGGTGCAAACAGGCAGTCAAGGTTCCATTCTTGGAAAGATATCTCCATTGCCCAGTTGTCGAGTGGCGCCCTTTACTTGTCCCCCTTTGTGTTTGGTGGCTTCCCCACTCCTGAGTCCGAAAAAGCACTGCTCCCAATAAATTGGACATTGCCCAACACAATATGGGGCGATGTCCCGTTTTTCTGTCCAGCTTGAGGGTCTAGGTTCTCTTTTTGGCGTTGGATGAAAGGAACATCAACAGATAGGCGACCTGTATTTGTGGGTTCTATGTAAACTTATTGTCCAGGCGGCTATTTTTTTCAGAGGCTACCCCTTTGTTTGGTTTAGGGAAACCAAACCAAGTAGATGTCTTGAGGGAGGCAACGTTTGGTAGCTATATATATATATACCTGGACCCTCAATTTACCCTTTAAACAGGGGTATCACTCCACAACGGTGGGGCAATATCAACCAATTTGGGGGCAGTTTCAGGGTCCAGGCAAACACGAGATATATATATATATATATATGTATATGCACATATATCTAATCTATATGTATTTGTCTGTATATTTATCTAGATGGTTATCTATATATTTATATATTTATATATTTGTCTAATATGTCTATTTAAATGTGTCTACATATCTATCTATCTATCTATCTATCTATCTATCTATCCATCCATCTATCTACCTACCTATCTATCTACCTATCTATCTATCTACCTATGTATGTTTGTCCATATGTTTATCTGTACAAGTATTTCTTTTTGTCCCCTGAAGGCCCTGGGGTTCTCCTCGCTTGGCCGCGAGGCGCACTACTCCTCCACGCCCACCTGCACCCCGGCGCGCGCGGCGCTGCTCACCGGGCGCTCCCCCTGGGGCCACGGCATGCCGCCCGGCGACGGCGGTTTTTGGCCAGCCACATTTTTTGTTTTTTGGGGCGGGGGGGTGGGGGTTGGTCATTTGGTCATGGTCAAAAGACCCTCTTCTTGTTTGGGGCTTGACAGTGATGCTCATCCACCTGGTAGGGATCCTTCATGACCATTGGAATGGGGTCCTGGTAGTCGGGATCGGAAATATGATGGTTGAAAGGACCTCTGCAACGTTAAGCCATGGGTTTAACAGGGATGATCATCCTCCTGGTAGTAGGGATCCTTAGTAGCCATTAGAATGATTCCTGTTTGAGGGATGCGGGCTTTCGGGATGGTTTAGAGAGTTGGGGTGGGTTTTAGGGCCTGGTTTGCAGTGGTTTAGAGCTCCGAAGAACGCCATTACCATTGCCCACAAGAGTTGCAGATGAGCGACTGCATTCTATTTAATTACAGGCTACAGTAAAGGCTGGAATCGGAAGTTGCATGGTTTAGGTAACATATTGAACTAGGTGTATAGGAGCTCCCCCAAAACAAGGTCGGGCCATGGCACATGGTGCGGCGTTGCAAAACAAGGCTCAATGTGTCCAACAAGTGTAGGGATGGAGAACGAGGTGGGAAAAGCCGACGATTCAACCAATAGCTGCTGCAGCTCACATGTATTTATATATACATACATATGTATACACACCATTACACAATATACATATATGTATATATTATTTTCCCATACTGAATAGCTACCTCAATGTAAAGTCAAGGCCTCAATCACCTTCCATGGCTGTCAGGGCTGCTGAGGAGCCTGGTTGAGGCTAACCAAGGCGAAGTACGGCGAGGTATACAAGGCCTTTTCGTTAGTGCTTCCAATGTGGAGGGATACACATATGAACAGTTTGTCATCCCCTGGTATTGTTGACTAGGTCACCCTTAATTTATTGAGGCTCCTTTTTGGTAATCGTGCATGGAAATCCTGAAGTTGGCAGGATTGTTGCGGAGGGCTTGGGCTGTTCGGGGTTTAGGGTTGAGTTCAAGGGGCAAAAGCAAAGCAACGCGTTTGCCATGGTGGGGGTTCCGCTTCGTATTTTGCAGACATACCCGCGCGTGTTTTGTTTTTCACTTGGGGCCTGAGCTTTGGTTGACCCAAAGGCAGGATGCGGCTTTTGAGGATCCACCCCTGGATGTTCAAAGATTACCAAAAGAGTACTATTACATGTATTACTGCAATCACTTTACTGGCCCCAGAACATAAAAAAACAGACTGAAAAAGCAAGCACTCGCCGGAAGAAAAAAACATAAAGTTTGGTATGATCTTCCCATTTCAAAGGGTCCGTTGATTATTTTTTCTCCCGGTGGGTGTCGACGCTTTAGGCTGGGCTACGGGGCGGTCGCTCCGAGGCGGATCCGGCGGTGGGGGTTGTCGAAAACCTGTGGTAAGCTCCTCCAGTAGCTGTGGGTCAGGGGGCTGGGGGGGGAGGGAGGAGGCCTTGTTTAGAGCTTATTTGGGCTCCTTCCCCCCGCCCCATCCCTCCCAGACCCCAGGGATGAGTGAACTTGGGGATGGATTTCGGTGTTCCTTTGGGTTTCCCTTTAAACCTACCTGAAAAGTGTGCCGAGCCAAAAAACGCAAGCCAGGGTGGACGATGTTCAAAAAATTAAAACTTCCATCCAAATCAATCCACAAACAACCGCCGGATCAGGCTGTTTCCTTTTGTTTGCCTGAAAGGGTTTGTTTGGTCCGGCTGAGCGTTCGGATTAAAACAAACAACAACGGTTGCTCAGAATGGGGACTCAAACCCAGAAAACTGAGCGTTTGACCCTTAGGCTTTCCTATTGTGATTCATTTTGAAGCTGTGTTAGTGTCGTTGTTCTTTCTTTTTTTCTGGAGGTCGATCCTAACAATATATGTTTCACCCATCATGCTTGTTGGGAATCCGCAAACGCTCCTTGTGTGCTTTCCAACCCTCCAATGAAATCGATCAGCAGCACACCGAAACATGTTGGGATGGTACTCGATTGGTCGAAATCAGGGCCCATTGTTGTTCATGTTGACCCCACGTTCAACCTGACCAACGAACACGGGGGTGTTTCGCCAAGACATGCGATCCGGGTCAAGATGGGTTTGATTTTCTTCCGAGTGATTTGTTTGCAAGCTCTCTTACCCTAAGCGGAGTTCGTAGCCTCAGGTGGTCTTGGGGATCTCTGCAAGGCTCGAAAAGGAATTCCCCAAGACCTGCAAGGGATGAGCTTCAAACTACCCCCGCCTCACCGGTCAGATGGCCAAACCCGTTTTTTTTCTGCACTCTTTGGGTGTTACTACTTAGGTTCTAACCCTCTCAAGGGGATGAACCCCAGTTGCGAAACAAACATATCCATGGTACCCCACTGACCCGATGTTGGTTGAACATCCAAGCACTCCAAATACTCACCTTTTCTTCTTTTTCTTCGGGTATCATGCCCACCCCTGGCAAAAAGAGGAGGTATCTGCCAGTTTGACCACCTTGCCGGCTGCCGCTTGGGCCACCCTTGGGCCGTTGGGCCATTGGGCCAGGTATGAACTGGAGATGGCGAGGGCGTTGGAGCAGCACAGCGCTGTGGTGGTGGCCTTACCCGTCGAAAGCGGAGTCTAAGCGAGTGATTCCTTTGTCGCATTGTGCCAAGGGATGTTAGGACTGAACAACTTTTTGCCACCTAAGGGGTTTTCCGAATTAAACCACAATAAAAGTTAAACTTTTAGCAGGGGAGCAGATTTCGCAACCGAGATTCCCTTCAGCGTGCCGCCATCCATGGTGCAACCTAGGGCTAGGAAAAAAACTGCGTCCTTACCTGTGGTTAGTAGGTCCCAGGCAAGTCTCCAAGTACCTTGCGTTTGTGGTGGGTTGACATACCCTACTCGAGGGTATCTGGAGTTTGTTGTGATTCGGTTTCTCAGGCAACCACTGGAACCTCGGCTTGCCTGATGGGATCCACTGGTGGGTAAACGGGCAATCACCCTCGGAACGCCTCCTACCAATCCAAACCACCAACTAGAGTGAATCTGAATTATGGTAGGCAGCCCGTGGAAATCACTAGTTGAACACGAACCCGGTGGATGCCAGGCGTGTCGCCTAAAATAGTATCCAGCCATGTCACTCTGAGTTTTGCAAGGGTGGTTCCACTGGTTTTCTACTCAGGGAAATGGAATCACTGGGTAGAAAGTCTGTGGTTATGAAGTCTTTCCTGGGGGCTAAAAGGCTTATGCTGTTGGGATTGGAGGAATGGTACTCGGATTGGAGGAATGGTACTGCCATGCTCGGTTTAACACGATCAAAATCACCAGCTCCCAATGGGGGTGGGGTCCTTTTCTGCAGATCATGGACCACCCATGGCCTTCTTCCTTAGGAGGACCCCCCTTTTTGGGGTTCCATAAAAAAAGCAAGGGAGAGCCAATGGTTGGGAGAGTCCAGGCAGGTTTTGGGGGTGTTTCGAGGCCGCAGATTGTGATCAGCTTTGCAATTCCATCCTGTTTGGTGTTTGAGCTGCGCGCTTCTCTTTCGCAAGTTTCTTCGGTTGTGTTTCTACTTCGTGGGCGGATACCAACCAAAGAGCGGGGGCTTTTGCGGGCGGCGATAAGTTGAACGGGGTGGGGTGGCGACCTTCCTGAGCCACTGGAACATGTTCCGCACATGAGTGGACTTTGTTTATTAAAGGAAGAAGCCAAAAGGAGCGCGGAACTGCAAGGGTGGCCGCGTAGCCTTCGGAAGCCTTCGGACCGCGTAGACTCACGTAGCCCTTTGCGTAGCCACTAGCAAATTTGCAACTTTTGAGAATGGGTTCCGCGTGGCCTGCGTGTAGACCAATTGTTTGGAAGTCAAGGCTTATGTTGAAACCCTACATTTTCCCTAGAATTAGCTCCCCTTTTAGATTTTATGTGTTTTCCACTAACCAGGCAAAAATATAGCGTGTGCTGGGGTCCTAGTGCCAAGACATGTTCAAAAGAGACAGGGTTTATCCTCAGCGGAGCCTCCCTGCGTAGCCTGTTCAAGTCCACTTGCTCACTCGCCCGCCTTCACGACCGTTCCATCATTCCTGCAACTGCTGCTGCTGCGGCTGCTGCTGCGGCTCCTGCTACTACTACTGCTGCTGCTGCTACTACTACTTCTACACTACTACGACTACTACTACTACTACTACTACTACTACTACTACTACCACCACTACCCACTACCCACTACCCACTACCCACTGCCCATTACCCACTACCCACTACCCACTACCCACTACCTACTACCTACTACCTACTACCTACTACCAACTACCTACTACCTACTACATACTACCTCCTACTACCTACTACCTACTGCCTACTGCCTACTGCCTACTACCTCCTACCTCCTACCTCCTACCTACTACATACTACCTACTACCACCACTACCCACTACCCACTACCCACTACCCACTGCCCATTACCCACTACCCACTACCCACTACCCACTACCTACTACCTACTACCTACTACCTACTACCAACTACCTACTACCTACTACATACTACCTCCTACTACCTACTACCTACTGCCTACTGCCTACTGCCTACTACCTCCTACCTCCTACCTCCTACCTACTACATACTACCTACTACCTACTACCTACTACCTACTACCTACTACCTACTACCTACTACCTACTACCTACTACCCACTACCCACTACCCACTACCCACTACCTACTACCCACTACCTACTACCTACTACTACCTACCACCTACTACATATTTCCTTCTACCTACTACCTACTACCTACTACCTACTAGCAATTACCTACTACTTACTGCCTACTGCCTACTGCCAACTGCCTACTACCTACTACCTACTACCTATTACCTACGACCTACTACCTACTACCTACTACCTACTACCTACTACCTACTACCTACTACCTCCTACCTACTACTTACTACCTACTACTACCTACTACCTACTACCTACTACCTACTACCTACTACCTACTACCTACCTACCTACTACCTACCTACTACCTCCTACCTCCTACCTACTGCCTACTACCTACCTACCTACTACCTACTACCTACTACCTACTACCTACTACCTACTACCTACTACTTCCTACCTCCTACCTCCTACCTACTACCTACTACCTACTGCCCACTGCCTACTGCCCACTGCCTACTGCCTACTGCCTACTGCCTACTGCCTACTACCTACTGCCTCCTACCTCCTACCTACTACCTACTACCTACCTACCTACTACCTACTACCTACTACCTCCTACCTACTACCTACTACCTACTACCTACTCCTTCCTACCTACTACCTACTACCTACTACCTACCTACTGCCTACTGCCTACTGCCTACTGCCTACTGCCTACTGCCTACTGCCTACTGCCTACTGCCTACTGCCTACTGCCTACTGCCTACTGCCTACTGCCTACTGCCTACTGACTGCTACTGCTACTGCTACTGCTGCTACTACTACTACTACTACTACTACTACTACTACTTCCGTGAGCCAACGCGCATACGCGAAGCTCCCGAGAAGCCCCCCCGCGTAGTCACTTGTCAAAAAAATGTGTTGTCCAGTCTATGGGTCCCCCACATGTTTGTTTCAATCAAAAGCACGTCGCACATGTGAGGGGCTCCAAGGCGAGTCTCTTTCTGGCCCTTCAATATTGGTTTGAACATGGCCCCGAAACAAGTCGAGTAATTCCAGGGGCTAGGTCTTTATACACTTTCTTGCCCGAGAAAAAAAACAGAAGGTTGGGTTTAACCTCTTGGGACTGCCCAAATAGGACAACTTCACTGTTGCTGGCATATGTGTTTAAGTTGTTGGGCTCTTGGCTTCTTGTTTTTTCCGGTGGGTGTCACATGCCAAGGGCCGGATCAGCTCGGTGGTGTCCGATTGGCCCTCAAGTAGGGTCCCCATGGCTTTGTGATGCGCCCAAAAGGAGAGACTTTTTGGACATACATTCGGAGTTTCCATGAAACCTAAAACACATAATGTTTGTTTTTGCTCAGGGTGGAAGGGCAGCCCTCAATATTTTCATTAGTCAGACCCGGAAGTTCTCACTTCCCGAGCTTAAGGACGTCAGCTAACTACCCCAGCACTTTACCCCGTGCGGTTTCGTTCACTACCTCAGTTGCCCAAAGCCGACCTTTTAACCTTTTGGTTTTGTGATTTGGATCCATTTTTAGTGGCCCCAAAATGTGATCACCTTTTATTTCTGGGTCCAAACTGGGCAACTGAGTCAAACTACCTTTAAGAAAGGGAAATCACGGTTTGGGGTAAGCGGCGCATGTTCTTTGCGGTTCGCATGCTCTTTCTTCGCGGCGAGCGCGGTCCGAACTGGGCAACTGAGCTACAACTACAAAGGGGAACGGCGGCCGTTCGCCGTTCGGCGAGCGAGGTGGGGAAGAACCACTTTGGCTGGGACAGGAGAACCCAATCGCCCAAGGCGCGAGCTCTCGCTGAACCGCGCGACCCCTGGAATTCCATGCTTGGTGCCATTTGTTAGGGGAAGGCTGGATAAATGGGGAATCCCCCAACCTGCCTTTGTTGTTTGATTGTTTGTTTGTTTGTTTGTTTGTTTGTTTGTTTGTTTGTTTGTTTGTTTGTTTGTTTGTTTGTGTGTTTGTTTGTTTGTTTGTTTGTTTGTTTGTTTGTTTGTTTGTTTGTTTGTTTGCTTGTTTGTTTGTTTGCTTGTTTGCTTGTTTGTTTGTTTGTTGTTGTTTGTTTGTTTGTTTGTTTGTTTGTTTGTTTGTTTGTTTGTTTGTTTGTTTGTTTGTTTGTTTGTTTTGTTTGTTTGTTTGATTGGTTGGTTGGTTGTTTGTTTGTTTGTTTCTTTGTTTGTTTGTTTCTTTGTTTCGTTGTTTCTTTGTTTCTTTGTGTTTCACGGACGTATTCCCTGTTTTGACTTGTTCACGTGTTTTCAGTTGGTGTTGTTCTTTTGTCGAACGTGTTGTGTTTGTGTTTCTTTTGCTTCAGATTGTTGCCAAAATCAGAAAGGACACTCTGCTCTATTAAAACTTGTAGAGGTTCCAAGATTCTTAGGGAGTTGTTCGGATGTGCTTGGAGGGGGGTCACCCCAGAATCAGCGCGCCTGGAGTCTCCTTCCGACCCTACGCCCCTTTTGATTGAGGTCCTGACCCCATGTTTGAAAAGAGGCCCCAGGTCCAACGGAACACAAGGTTTGGGGGGGAGTGACCTTACGTAGCTTTTTGTGTTTTTTTTTGGGGGGGGGGACAAGGACAACCAGTGGAGTTTCCAAGTCCCAGTTGTGAACAAGGTTGTTTACCCTCTAATTCCCGTTTTATTTGGTCCCTTCGAAAGTGGAACCAACCAACCAAAATGGCTCCCTTGACCCGGGTATTTGGAGTCGGTAAGCAACGTTCCGGCTTTTGCCGGGCTTTTCGCCAGGCCCATGGGTACCAGCACCTGCAGCTGCCTGGCTGTATGTGAGCCACGGTCCGTACGAGAACCGTCACCAATCCCACCTGGTGCAGGATTTTGTTCATTCACAGTAGGGGTTATGGACGCACTGCGGCACACGTTACAAATTGCCGGTGACTTATGTGATTGGTTGGCTTCTCAAAAAGTAGATGGGTTTGTCCCAGAATAGGGAGACACCTTTCTTGAATCCAACGGGAAGCCTGGTTTGTCACCTTGAGACCCCGGCTGCTCAAGAGACCCTCGGCCTGGATGCCAAGCTTTTGGGTTGCAAGGGACATGGGAAACTCGAGACAACTTGGGGAATCTTGAGACCAACGCATCGTACCTGGAGTCTACATGACAAAAACAACTGCAGCAATGAACCATAGCATCGTCGTCCTGTGGATGCTGGCGTTCAACGCTTTCCTCTTGGTGCTTTGGATTGGCTTGGACAGGGAGGGTGTCTTCACATTTGGCTGGAACAAGAGCCAGAGCTTCTAACTAACCACACGTCCAAGCCACCACTCCAATTCCGCCAATCCAATTCCGCAAATTCGACACGCCAAGACAAATCCACCAATCCAACCCCCCAATCCAAATCCACCGTTTCACTTTCATCGAAACCAGCACTCCAAGCCAAGCCTCTGAACAGACCGTTTTCCCTGCCAAATTCCATGGTACATCTATTCATGCCAACCCTTCAACTCAAGGCGCCAAGTACTCCGCAACCAAAGGGTATCGACCCAAAGCCTGACCTTTTGCTATCACTCTTTGTTTATGGGTCTGAACAAGGGCATTGAGAGTGAGTGCAAGGACCTGACATTGACCGTTTTTTGGGGGCTGCCCAGTTGAATGGGGAACCTGGCCTCCAGAAATAGAACCGGATCCAGGATTCTCATTGAACTGGGGGCCAATAGAACGGTTTACCCTAGGCCATGATTTCAAGCGGTTGAAGTCTAGGGCCAGGTTACCTTACTCGCCTGGACTTGTTGTACTTTCTGGACTTGGACGAGTTTAGTAGTAAACAGCAACACCGTTGGGACAATTTCAGGGGGTGAGTTACCTGTACAGGTGACGTGGATCCGCTGGGAAAGCCCTGCCCACGTTTTGGTCGAAGGATCTACGACGGCCTGGGCAACGGCTTTGTGAACGGCAGCGAGTTCGACGACTACGACCAGTGGTTCCAGCAGCAGCTCCCCGGGCGGGGGAGCGACACAAATCGGGTGGTGTCCGTGGTGATCGGTTGCTCAAAGCCAGTGGATCCCACAATGGCTATGAATTTCAATAAGGGACCCTTTGGTGGAATCACTTCTGAGGTAGGTCCCTATTAAAATTAATGGCCATATGGGGAAAAAAGCAGTCCGACTTGTTGGGGGTAGTTGGTGTTAAAAGGAAAACCCGGGCACCACCACTGGAGATCTGCGGAATAGTAGGTAAGCAGCCATTTCCCATTGTGAAGGTTGGTTCCATTGCCTCAGGAAACTGAAGCTGGGCAGCAGGTCAACGTTCTTGAAGCGTCTTTATAACTCGCTCTTGTTTCAACAGTCTGCTGCTGGCTTTCCTTTAAAAGGGGACCAAGGGCCCTTGAGTTCCGGGGGTTGGAGCTTTTTGGGATTACCATCTTGGTGGTAAACAACCAGTTTGGACTTGTTTGGCCCATCCACTGAGGAAGTGAGGGTCGGCTATTCAGACAATTGTTGCCGAACCCTGCCCATGGCTGTGGGAATCAGCTTTCGGCCTATTCTCCAGGCCACCTATTCTTTTCGGAGGGGGAGAGGACGCCCTGGATTGGTCAAAGGGAGCCAACCGCACATTAGAAAAACATGTCGGCAATGTAGCAGCAGGGGACTGCAATTGGGGAGCAAAGACCCCAGGAAGGGTCGGATTTTTTGGGGAAGTGAGTCCAATGTATTAGATTCCAAAGTGGGATTCCCATCCATACCTGTGATTGTCACTTTTCAGGGGTTCCCTTCCTATCTCTGTGCGAGGTTTCTGGAAAAGTGACAATCACCGGGATGGATTGGAATCCCACTTTGGCATGTAATATATTGGACTCACTTCCCCAATATTGGGATCTCTGCTCCCCAATTGCAGTCCCCGGCTGCTACATTGCCGACATGTTCTTCTAATGTGCGGTTGGCTCCTCTTGAGCAATCCAGGGCGTCTTTCCCCCCCCCCCGAAAAGAATGGGTGGCCTGGAGAATACGAGAGAGGTTCCTGGGCACTACAACCTAAATTGATGTTCGGTGACTTCATTGTGACTTCATTGATTTCCCTTGTTGGGTGAGGCCGAAGCCCCCGTGAATCGCAGGCAGGACCCCTTGCGCAGCGGCGGTCTCGACTGGAACTCCTGGCGGGGAGCTCCCTACGACTTCGAGGCGACGGGATGGGGGGCCCTTTGCGGGCGACGGCTGGGCGCCCTTGTTGTCAGGGTGGCCATATGGCCATGGGTCAAAAGCCAATCGTACCCCCAGTGATCATCCCAATCCCCACTAAATAGACTAAAATGTGTGGTGCACCTACCCCAAACTGGTACCATTGGTTTTGACCCAGCCATATTAGGTGTGTCGGTATTTTTGGAGGGGACCCTTGGGGTAACGGTTCAAAGGGGAACCAAACAAAAGCGACAAAAGCCACCAAGTTTGAGGGTTCTAGTTTGGGACCAGCCCCTTTGAGTGTTTCTCAAAATGCTGGACCTGGATGCTCAAACCACCCTCGAAAAAGGACCGTGCCCTAACCGCAAGCCCCCGGCGAACAAACAGCCTTAGCTCTCGCAGCAATCACGCGGCTCAGCCCTGCATGAAGGTTTGTAGCCCAGCAACTGAGTTGGAGGGTGCAGGGATCCCCTGGTTGGAATGAAAGGGAAAAGAACACCCGCCCCATTTTCAGAGGGCCCATGTGTGTGGTCTTTGTTTTTAGGCTACCCTTCTGGAGACTCTTCTTGGGGTATTTGGATTTAGATGGACAACAAAAGGAAACAACTGATTTTGAGGTTGGTTGTTTCAAGGACCCCCTGTTGTGTCTGTGTGTGTGTGTGTGAGCCGGTGTGTGTGCGTGTTTGTTTTACTCGGGCTTTTCGTGGTACCTACCCCGTGATCAAGGTTTTGTTGTTTCTCGCAGGAGACTGTTTTGAGGCTTTAGAAGGGTCGTTTTAAGGTCTTTCGCCGTACCCCAAATTAAAGGGTGACGCGATCCATGCATGAAGGTTTAGACAAGCTTTGAGGGGCATGAGTTTGGCCCAGGCAGGCTTCACCCCCCTATGAAATAATGGTTGCCCCAGTGGTGGCCAGGCAATCCCAGGACTGGGTGCGTTAGTAGATGGGGTGTGGTCCTTTTCTTTCCGCTTAGGTTTAGTTGTTTTCCTTGAACGACTCCACTCAAATGTTCGCGGGACACCCTTCAAACGGGGACATATACTCTTTGACTTGTGGTTATGACACAATGTTGGAAGGCTCATGATGACACCAGGTAGGGTTGGTTCATCTGCGTATGCGTCAACAAGGCGCTAGGCAACACCAATCCACCAAGGGTGCCAGCAAAACAAAAACAGAAGCCCCCATTTGGCTGGTGGTCTGTGGGTAGCTCCACTTGGCCTGAGTGGGAAGGTTGGAGTACCAACAACTAGCTTGCCGGCCACCCAAGTTCACCGGTACACCCCTTTTCCCAAACCCAAATAGAACCTTAGTCCGGGCTGAATGGGGTCTCCTTTGCTGGAAAGCCCGCCCGCCTGCCCACCCCCAAAAGCGCCCCAGTTTGCTGACTACTATGGGATGTGTTTTGGACGAGAATTATATACAACTAGCTTGCAGCATGTATGTTTTGCAATAAACCCGCCAAGTTTGCCAAAATGTAGTTCTGGGCGGGGCTTAGCATACTACTGTGTATAGTATAGAGATTCTGAGATGTTCAACAACCAACTCAGCAAGTAGTGTACAACCATGAATATACATGTTGTAACTGGGATGAAATAGACATGACCTTGTGCATTTCGTTATTCATGGTTTGTCCTTTCCATTCTCGCAGACACAACTTTTAATCAACTGACACAAACCCCACAATATGCTATGGAATCAAAGTGGAGAGGAGGTCGGGTATGACCAGGCCTCAAGACTTATCGGTTCTGCCAACTAATCAATCGTTGTAACTCTCGATTTCCTTCACCTGTAGCCGTGGGATTCTGAGGAACTGGTCAGCGAGATATTATATCCGTCTTTGTCTGGCTCCTTCCTATACCTCGTAAACTCCAGAACGAAGAAGTGATAAACGCCAAAGATAGATCAGTTAGGTAGAACATGAAAGGGAAGGAAAGCTTGCCTTCTACACAAGATTTCGTGTGAAGGGTGATAACAAATGGAAGTTATAGCGATGGCAAGCAACTTCCAGAAACTTGATGACATCACACTATCTTTGTCCGTTCAGCTTATAGGAGTCTCCATTGTACCTTTAATTTTGGGGTCATAGTATCAAAATGGCATTATTTTGCGAAAAGGCGTTTTTGTTCATTGTCACAGCAATGTGACCTTTTTTTTGTGCAGACTGCGACAAGTAGATATGTTGTGCAAAAAAGGAATTTAACACACCGCAGCAACTCGGTGGGGCCTTTTTAAGGATGTTAGCCAAATAAGTTGCCTTAAGCAAACGTCTTCTTCCATGTATGGCGACGCCACAGCTTGTACCTATCAAGCAACATCTGCTTAAGTGTATTCATCAGCCACATTTGCCCAAAGCCCATGCGCTTGCCTGTAAGCATTTGCTCAACGCTCAACAATATACGGACACCGTTGCGCAGGCTGGCGCCAAGAGGATCGCTCCCAACAAAAACCTGAGCTTTTTTTGCTTGCAGGCGGCAAGTGTACTTTTTCGAGGCCTGTTTGTTTCTTCAACAGCCACTTGAAGAAAGCAAGCGCTTGTGAGAGTCCTTTAGGCCTTGGCTCTGAAATGCTTTCTGGGAGGCGCGGTGATGGAGGAAATATAACTTTACCAAGGGTATAGCTACAAAAGGCCACATGCGTTTAACGAAGGCTATTTGCATACATTACCTTCGACGGATTTTTTTCACAACGTGTGTTTGTGTTGAGCCACCTCTAGGCAAGCAACAGCTTGAAACGGGCCTTGGACTGGCTACTCTTGCAAATCTACTGGGGGCATCTGAAATGCTGTTTTCCGAGACTTTCCGGCTCGAGTGACGATTTGATAGTGAAACACGCTCAAAGGTTGCAACCGCCGAAAGCCAAATTGTTTGGAGCCTTCTGTCAGGTGTCTGTCCGCCGTCTGTCCGTCCGACCGCCGTCCGTCGTCCGTCGTTTGTGCAACCCAGCTGGACCCCATTTTTGCTTTGGCATACTTTGAGGGTCCCAAAAAAGCCGTCCAATAGGCGGAAAAACCCGTCCAAAAGGCGGAAAAAACCGTCCGTCCAGGACGCGTCCGCAGCTTGTACCTTTTTCTTTTTCTGTGGGCCTTTTTTGCCCTTATATGCTGGAGAGGGAGCAAATTTGGGATGGCCTTCGACAAACTGCGCGCACAGTGTTGAGTTGCGGCTGCAACTGATTTTGTGCAGCACTTAGTCTCACGGCACACGTAAGGATAGTTCTGGCGTTGACCCTTCGTGTTTAATGCTTGGCCCCATGCCCATGTTCTGGTTGACAGTAAAACACTTGCGTGCCGGAGTGCGCAAACGTGCGTGTAAAATCTACTGTGTTCGTCCCTCGTTGTGTCCGCATCGTTGGAATGACCGCTCTGCTCACTGCAGTGGCGCTGAATTTGTCACTATAGCAACGACGTGCACCTAGGCGCGCTGGAATTGAACGAGTTTGACCACAGTGTGGGAGCGACCGCGCTGCTTGTAATTTCGCTGTGACACCCAAGCTCATGTCAACGTACACGCTCGTGCTGGGCACGCCTGCTGTCGTACTTTTTTGCGTGAAAGCAAATAGCTCGCCTACTGGCAAAAACTCCTTCGTTGCGCGTGACAAAGTGTGCCCGAAGCACTGCATTGCTCGCTACAGTTTGAAGCGGTTGCAGCTTTGCCCCTTTGACCTAGCAAAATTTGACTACCCCAGCATGATTCAAGCTTGGTGTAAGTCCATCTTTCGCAGTTACCAAGTGAGCAGACGAACAAAACATGTCATAACCCCAGAACACATGCATAAGTTCCGTGTCCAAAGCCAGACTCTGGCAGCTTTCTTTTTGGTTGCACTCATTTAAAGATCGCAACGCATGGCGCTATCCATTTACTGGTAAGCAGGAAGGAGACGCATGTGACCCCTTTTTGTGTCACAGTGCCTTTTTTTGCACCCGTGACCCCAAAAAAATGGGGTCACGGCAAAAGGGCGAAAAAAGAAGGGTCACGGAGACTCCAGGTATATATATAAACGTTTGTTTCGCCAGCTTACGGCCCTCTCATGTCTACCACCAATCACTCCATTTCTTCCCCGAAGCTCTATTCCTTTTCCTCGTCTATCTGCTAGGATTTATTATGTTAGGTGTCAAGGATTCAATAATTTTCGGGGTCAGGATCTTTGAAGGCATCTCCCTTGACTTCCTACATCCCTGGCTGCTGGTTGAGTGGATCCCTAAAGGCAGAACGCAAAAGACATGCTTAATATGAATGCTGATAATATAACTATATATGTATATATATATATATACACCTACAAACAGATAATCTGATAGTAATATCAACGGAAATGGAGGGGATACAATGTATTGAGAAGTTTGCTTAGCCATGTTAATTTCCTTTGTCCACAATAGTTATGATTGGGGAATTATATCACTAATAAAGACAAGGCAGCATGAGAAGGGTGCCCGTGACCTATGACGACTCGCTGTCACGAGATCATCATTACAACCCACTAAAATTGAACACCCAACCACAGAATCCCTAAGCTGGGGCCTGGCAAATCATTTGGCAGGAGTACATAAAAGGAACTTGAGTAATACACCTGTAATAGTTAGGAACTTGGGCCTGGCCATTTGGCAGGATTCTGTAATACTTGGGTGTTTCACCTTCATTCTCCTGACAGAATCCCGTTCCACTAGTATTATTCGAACACCCAAGCATTCGGGGGGTGTTTTGCCCTTCCCCCCCCATTCTTGCTGGGCGCCGTCCGAGAGGGACTCCAGAACTTCCAGTTGGTTCATATGTTGATTTTCCCCTGGTGGTTTTAAAGGGAATCTATCACTACTAGACATATGTTTTTTTTTCCAGCGGACACGAAAGGGGATTCCATCAAAAGTAACCCCTCCAGTTTCATTCCGTGAAAGCTATTCGGGAAGCTCCAGAATCCCGTCCAAGCTCCCCCTCCGACGAATGCAGATTGGACAGGAGAAGTTCCACCCCACTGCCTGGACGGGCCGGAGGGCCCGTGAGGCGCTGCAACACTTCGCCGCAGCAGGCGCGCAGGAGAAACCCAAATCCGTACTACAACACGCTGGCCTGAAAGTGGTTGCCATAGGCGTTTTCTTTTTTTAGTTTAACTAGAAATAGATTGCACTGGCTGAGATTGGTTCGATTCCATGTACCAGGGCCATCTATGTTGCCAAAAGGACACCTATGGTGGTTACATTCTAAGGAGTTCAACGAAAATACCGTTTGGGGTCGGTTCCATTTAGATATCAGAGGCACATGTTGATTGTGTCACTTGAATGGACCCTGCAACGCAAAAGCTCACTTCCCGCCCTGAGTTTCTGGACGCAAAACAGGGGCATCGCCAACGAGAAATCCGGGACCCCCCCAGGGGTCGGCAGTGAACTCACGTTCCCAGTTTAAAGACTTTGAACGGGGGGTTGAACCATGTTAGTGGTACACAAAAGTCTGTGTTGATTGGGGCCCACTCAGGAAGTGAATAGGCCAACGGGCAACTGTGTCTCTGTTTGCTGCTTGTTTTTGCAGGTTGTTTTCCTTGGCCAAGAGGTCAAGAAGGTGTCACGTTGTTTTTCACCAATAGGTCTGTCAACCTAGGGTTTCTCCACACTTCAACACAAAGGGGATTGTATCGCCCAACTCAAAAGGCACGTGTTGCACGTGTTCAGGCCGCTCTTGAAGTGCTAATGATTCCATGGAAATCACTGCAATATGGGGCAGTATCCAATGTTTAAGGAAATTTTGCGGGTTGTGGTCCCCCCTTACATCACCCCACGTGGAAATGCCGCAAAAGGTGTTTAAACCCAGGCTTTCAGGGTCCCAGTGATTCCATTTTTCTTGGAAGCCAATGGAACCACCCTTGAAAAGACGAAAGTAACATATGGCGAAGGGGCAGTTCTACTTTGTCGGTCATTTGGATCCATCAAGCTGGCTTAAACATGTTGCAACAAGATATCCAATTGATTTCCCTGTGCAACCCTCCAAGGGCCAATCTGCTGGATGGCTTTTGTCGGGGTCATTCTGTCCCATTCTCTGCTTATTGAACCACCAAACAAACCATATGAACCATTCACCAAATTTGGAGGTGATGTCTTGATATTTGCATACCAGTCACCAAGTGTTGGTTTGTGATGTCTTGATATTTGCATACCATTCACCTTAAACGGATTGTGATGTTCGCCACGGTTCCATGGGTTTTTGGGGCAGGGATCTCTCGAGGTGATCCCTTCTTCTTGAAGGTCTCCTTCCACCGGCCCCACAGCCCCTACGACCCCCCGCGGCGCCTGCTTGACGCCACGCCCCCGCCGAAATCTGCTCCGGCAAAAGCCGCGGACCAATGGGACGACCACTTCCGGAACTGCTCGCAGCAAGGTGAACAGGACCCGGGGATAGGTTGCTAGGGTTCCGGTGGTTCAAAAGTACCTAAACCCTCAAACTAGATCCAGAACATGGACATCACCCCACACTTTTGGTTTAATATCCCATAGATGTTGGGCAATATCCTATGTTAGGGGCAGTTAATCCAGGTAGGTCCCCAATTTGTTGTTGCTTTTCATTCGCACAAATTCTCCCCTCCCCTCCTTTGAGGACGCCTGGTGCGGGGAGGTGGCGCCCGCGGCTCTGAACCTCACGCGCCGGGCCTACCGCGCCAGCGCCCGCTTTGTGGACGAGGAGGCCGACGCCTCGGGTCTCAGGTCTCGTTCTATTTGTTCTTCGGCCGAAGCTCCGGGCGCAAGCGGAAAAAATCTTGGGTTCAGCGGCTTCAAGCCACAAAGTGGCTGACGTGCTGGATAGATTCTCCTTGGGTTTCGGTTTCGGGGGGAATCGGAAGGAAGATCCGGGCGCATGGTCCACTGCGGAATTCGATCTGCCGTTGAAGCCTCACACTACTGAACCCGGGGTTTCTTCGGGCTTTTGGGGGATGGAAAATCTGGGCGCATGGTCCGAGGCGAGCCATTTGTTGTTTGCCTCAATTCCCTTCTTACTAGTTCCGAACCTGAGGTGTTGGGGTCCCTTGTAAAGGGACCCCAAGATCAGGTTCCATGTTAGTTGGTGGGAGGGACGCCAAAATGTATGGGTAGTTTGAGAGTCCGCGTGCCTTTTTCCTGGCGAGATGGTAAAACATTTTTTGGCAAGGGCATCCAATTCTTATCGCGGGTGACCTTCTGGTGTTAGAATGATTGTCGCATTTGCAGGTTTCATCCAATCTGATGTCCCAGAATCCAATGGCATGAGCGCTGAAATGGGTTTTCCCTTAAAGGAAACTGAAGGGAATGGAATCTTGCGTTTTCCCAGTTTTGGATCAGGGAGCTGTGGAAGTGCATGTTTGGCGAGGCAGGTAGCCCACGTTCTGTCAAAGCAGATTGGGGTAAGTGAAGGTTGGTAAGGGCAAGTCCCAGCCAGAAATTGGTGCGGATACTAATACCCGGTAAAATGAAACAACGATCTGCCGCAGGGATAGCGAACTTCTCCATCAGATAAAGACTCAGTCATTTGGAAGGATCTTCTGACTTCTATGATGCTGGGTCCATTCGACCCTTTAGCACCAGGCTTGATTCATTTGATTGTGACTCAGGTTGCGTTGGACGCATTATGCCAGTGTTTCGATTGTTTAATAATAGGTGAGCAAAAGAACCACTCTTCAAGCACAAAAAGGATAATGGCGAAGGGTTAGCTACTCTGGCGAAGCGCCGGTGGGGCCAGCTTTCGCTTCAATGTCGATCCACTGGGCTTTGGGCCTTTGTTTTCCCCCAGAAAGCTATGGGGCTTCCAGAGATGGGCTCCAGGTCCGGGGCTGAGTCCCGATACCACCTGAGCTTGTTGGTTTTGCGAGATTTTCCCCTTTCTGTTTTTGCTGAGGTGGGCCGGATCATGCAGGAGTTGGAGGGCTTAGGCTTGAAGGACATTGGACGGGGTGGTGATTCGGCGGGTCTTAGTTGCCCAAAGCGAATCGACCGGATCTGACCTTTTGCTTTCTTTTTTTCGGTTCTGTAATGTCGCACAAGGTTCACCTCGGATTTCCAGGTCCTAGTGAAGCTTTGTACGTTTTCCAGCTGGAAGCTTTGGGGTCGCTCTCGGCCAGAAGCTCGTGCCGCTTTCGGAGCAGCTTTCGGGGGCCTGGAGGGTTCCAAGATGGGGCTGTTCGGGGAGACCTGGATTTTTTTTGGTTAAGGTTCGGTGGAAAGCGCCAGGTCACTAAGAAAAGCAAGGAACATGAGCTTTGTGAGGCATGTTAAGAGGGGTTGGACCCTGGAGAAAACAATCAAGCTTCCATGAGTGCCATGATCCCCTCAGACCCCCCCCCCCGGCCCTCAAAGCCACAACTTAGAGTATTTGTTGTGTGGATGTCACTTTACTGGGCCCTGCAGGTGTCATTCGCATTTCCACTCCTGTTCGCAGGAAAAGAGTGGTCCTAGCCTTTGCATGGCTCTGAATCAGTGCCAAAAGGCACCCAAAAGGGCTGCCTGTTCCTAGGCAGTGCTACTTCCTTCAGTTTTGAACGTGTGGCTCAGTGGCTCCGTTGGTATTCTGGGATTGTCACAATGGGGTACCACCGAACTGGAAAGTTGTCCTTTTGAATTCCCTTTTAAACCGACCAAGCGCTATGCCCTCAAAATAATTAATCCCCCCCATTGGGAAAGTGGAGTCACTGGGAAGGCTATGCTTTTGCTTGCATTTTGCTTGGCTGTTAGGACTTCAACTTTTTGCCAACTACTGGGTTTTCCACTAAACCACTAAACGTTAAACTTTTAGCAGGGGAGCAGATTTCGCAACCGAGCTATGCTTTTGCCAGGAGAAGACCTTCATCCTCTTCACCTCGGACCACGGGGACCAGCAGATGGACCACTTCCTCTGGCGCAAGGGTTACCCCTACGAGGCGGCAAGTCACATCCCGCTGCTGCTGCGGTGGCCGGAAAGCCGCTCGCTCGGTTTCTGGGCACGGGGAGCGCCCGGTTTTTGGGGAAAAATCGGTTTTTGAGGGTATCCTTTTTGGGGTGAGTGTTATAGGGAAGCCACGCGGAGAGCTCAAGCCAGTTTTCGAGGTCACCCCATTTTGGCACGTTCTCAATCCCTGGGACACACCCTTTTGGAAAAACAAGTTAGAACCCTTGTAGTCCTCAGACCTTGTGGACCCTACAACTACCCATGAAAATGGTGGGGTGATGCCATTTGTTTGAGGGTCCGGCTGTATTTGAATGGTTCCGCTCTGGAACCTTTGACTGTGTACAAGCCTTACAGGTGTGTATCGTGAGAAGGCACGGACCCGATCCGCGTGTGTGTGTGTGTGTGTGGTTTTGTTTTTTCTTCTCCGTTTGAGCAGAGCAGGTGTCGCTAAAACACGGCGTCCCTTTGGTGTCCCTTTTTGGTTTATTTGTTAGCTTTCCTTGCTGGTTAGAAGTACTTTGAAATCGTTCCTCAAAAGGGGTGCCAACCTTGAAATGCCCTTGAAGGCTCCCAAAGGAATGGGCTCTCGGTTTGCCCTCTTTGGACTCACCCATACCCACAAGCTCTCGATTATTTCTCTCCCAAAAAAGATACCCTCCACGTTTTCGGGTAGTTTTCTAGGTCTCCCAGCAGTGCCCTTTTGCCCTTTTTTGGGCGAAATAAACAACAGACAAAAGGGTACCCACATTCTAACCTCGCTACTGGAGGACCGACCTCGCGCTCGAGCCGATCTCAGGCATGGATCTGGGGCCGCGTGGCGTGAAGGTGTCGGAGGTCACAGCGCCTCGGATTTGGATCCTGTGGAGGAGTTTTTTTTTCCCGGAAGCATTGCGAAGGGTTCTTCTTCTAAAAGCGGCTGCCAACTTCACCTGCCAACTTCTCATGCCAACTTGTCGAGAGTTACTTCACCTGCCAACTTCTCATGCCAACTTGTCGAGAGTTACTTCACCTGCCAACTTCTCATGCCAACTTGTCGAGAGTTACTTCACCTGCCAACTTCTCATGCCAACTTGTCGAGAGTTACTTCACCTGCCTACTTCTCATGTCAACTTTTTGAGAGTTACTTCACCTGCCAACTTCTCATGTCAACTTTTCGGCTGTTATCTCATTCTACTAAAAGCACAAGCTAATTTGTCGGGTGTTACTTCACTATCCTAAAAACACAAGCTAACTTTTCTGTTCTACCTTCACATCTCGACTCTTAATTCTTCTTCTTTTTATGGCGGGGGTAGGCCCGACGGGAGCTTACGAAACGCACCCCTCTGCGGAGATCGTGCGTGTCGAAGCGCTCTCGCTGTGGCGCCGTGCGAATTTGTCTTGAGCGCGGCGAACCCTCTGCGGAGATCGTGCGTGTCGAAGCGCTCTCGCTGTGGCGGCGCCGTGCGAATTTGTCTTGACCTTGGCGAACCCTCTGCGGAGATCGTGCGTGTCGAAGCGCTCTCGCTGTGGCGCCGTGCGAATTTGTCTTGAACCTCTGGCGAACCCTCTTGAGAGATCGTGCGTGTCGAAGCGCTCTCGCTGTGGCGCCGTGCGAATTTGTCTTGACCTTGGCGAACCCTCTGCGGAGATCGTGCGTGTCGAAGCGCTCTCGCTGTGGCGCCGTGCGAATTTGTCTTGACCTTGGCGAACCCTCTGCGGAGATCGTGCGTGTCGAAGCGCTCTCGCTGTGGCGCCGTGCGAATTTGTCTTGAGCCGGCGAACCCTCTGCGGAGATCGTGCGTGTCGAAGCGCTCTCGCTGTGGCGCCGTGCGATTTTCTTGCTCGCGAAACGGCTTTTGGAAGTTGTCTCGTGGTGTGCGCGCCTGCTTTCGCAATCCCGCGGTCCCGGGTTCGATTCCCCCCTGGTCCGCGGCAGCTCCGGCTTGAAAATCGCAGCTTTTAAGTACAAACGTAGTACGCGGAGCGTGCTCCTGCAGCTCCGGCTGGAAAATCGCAACTTTTAAGTACAGACGTAGTACGCGGAGGCTGCTGCAGCTCCGGCTGGAAAATCGCACTTTTTAAGTACAGACGTAGTACGCGGAGCGTGCTCCCGCAGCTCCGGCTGGAAAATCGCAACTTTTAGATACAAATGGCTGGAAAATCGCAACTGTAAATTGCAAATGTAGCACGCGGAGCGCCTCCGCCGCTCCAGCTTTTTGAGGGTTAATTACTTCACCTGCCAGTTTCTCATGCCGAAACTTCGAGAATTACTTCACCTGCCAGCTTCTCACGCCAACTTTTCGAGAGTTACTTCACCTGCCAACTTCTCATGCCAACTCTTTGAGAGTTATTTCACCTGCCAACTTCTCATGCCAACTTTTCTCTTGAGTTACTTCGCCTGCCAACTTCTCATGTCAACTTTGCGAGAATTACTTCACCCGCCAACTTTGCCAGCCAACTATTCGAGAGTTACTTAACCTGCCAGCTTCTCATGCCAACTTTTTGAGAATTGCTTCGCCTGCCAACTCCTCATGCTAACTTGGCGAGAGTTACCTCGCCTGCATCAACTTGCCTCTATGCTTCCGGGCCACTCGTCGTCTAGTTTTTTTTCTTTTCGGGTGCGGCTGGTCCATTGGGTGTGACATCGAAAGGAGAGACCTTGTTGGAAAAACGGCGCTTCCACTAATTAACCTGCAAAAGACCGTTATATAGATCTAGAATGAGCAACGGCCTTTGTTGGGGATCTTTTTTGTAGTAAAGCGAGTGACGTGGGAACACTCACCAGATTTCCAGTAGTAAATGGAGGTTGCTCACCAAATGCCCGTGTCAGTTGGGAACACAATGAATGTTGACCATGGCTCATGTGAGCCACAATCAAGACCCTGGTAGATGAAGGATAGCCAGGGGCAGTCCCAACTATAAAAATATCCGCACTTTGAGATCTTTCTCATGGGCTTGGGTAGACCACTCTCTAGGCAGACCACTTCAATGCCGGGTTTGAGTACGACTCATGTAGTCATTATTCAAGCCTTGCAGGCTTAGGCAATAGTCCCCGCAAGGCCTGCATGGATTATTTAATCGGTCTCCCAAACATGGGAAGACAGCAACAGACCAAGACCGGAGTTGTTTGGGGGTAGAAGCGTTTTTTCGCTTCAGTTCTACCAGGGTGAAAGTGGATCCAATTTTTCTGCTGATAAGTAGCTCTGTTGAAACCATGTTGGCATCGCGCCATCGTCTTTTGCCCAACTGTCAAATTCCAAAGCCCAAAATTGGCGGTTGTCCTTGGTGGTTTCCCTTTAAAACCACAAAGGGGGGACCCTCAAACCGACGCACACCCAAATGAATCCAGGAGGCTTCCCTTTTTGTTTGATGGCGGGGCCCCACTAAGATTGGTCAACCGCAGTGCTTCCGGTTGCCTACTATACTGGTGAATGGAAGAACTGGGTTAGTCAACAATCTTTAGGAATGAAGTTGAAGATCCTTCTAAAACCGATTCTGGGCTTCCGAGTGACACGTTCCTTTGTTGGACCCACTGTGCGTAACGTCTTCCGTTGGTTCGGGGTGGGCTTTGCCCTCACATGTGTTTCAAAGATTGCCTCCTGACCTTGGGAACACCGAAACCGGTTTTTCAAGGCTGGTTCCATTAAGGTTGCCTGTGACCAAAACCCAGCACCCCTTCTTTTTGCAGGTTCCCCATGTTTTCGGCGCGAATGTGCCCCCTCCATGTATCTCTCTTCTTCAAGCGGCTGTCGATCCCTTCGAACTTCCCCTGATCACCTGGGATTGAAAGTGAACTTCCCTTTTGAGGGTTGGGGGAACACTTGGATGTTGAACCCACGTCTTCTGTCGTAGGTAATCGTGAAAAGTGCGCTAACCCCAGCTACCAACCAGGCAACTCTGATAAGCTACTTGTACCCCAGTTGCCATGGTTATCTCTTCCAGTGGGTGGAACATCCAAGTTGTCCCCCATCAAAGTTGAGTGCGGGTGAAAATTAAACCAGGAAGTGGACCGCAGGTTTTAGTTGTTGGTTGCAGTTATACCAGGGCTCCATGTAGGGGTTACCCTATTTTTGACCACCACAGCCAGTTGATCCCCGCTGTGAGTCGCAAGCCCAGGAGCTGCGCGACATCTTCCCCACCTTCCTGGCGGTTTCGGGCCTCTGGAACGAGACCCTGGCGCAGCACATGGAGGGCCGACCCCTCACTCAGCTCCTGCGTGGCTTTGACGGATGGGTTGGGGGGGGGGGGGGTGAACTGGGGTTTCAGAACAGAAGAAAAGGTATGTTGTTTTTTAAAGGGTGCCTGGACCCTGAAACTGCCGCTGAAAAATAGCATATTGCCCTAATTTTATCGGGTGACGCCATGTGACGCCCCTTTCTTGCTTGCTGAAAAGGGACTGCCAAAGAACCGTGATCAGTCTCGAGGGTCTATTTTGAGTCACCCCCAAACCCCAAAGATGTCATGTCCAGAATCTGAGCACTTGCGTCGAGTCCCCAGAGCTGCGCCAAGCTGCGCCAATTTGAGTTCGGATCCTTGGAGTTCGGATCGCCGAAATGGATTTCGTTTTGAAGGGGTCCATGACGCATGACGGTCCACGTGAATCTGCGAGCACAAGCCTCAGAATCTTGTTTGAACCGCGACATGAAGTTGATGCGACTTCTGTTATGAGTTCGTTTGAGCTTGCGTCTTCTGTGGGTCCCTCAATCTGAGTCTGGGGCCTCAATATGGCGTTGTGTTTGTTTAGGTGGTTTTGGCGACTGTATCCTTTTCAGCTTGGTTTGCAGGGAAATCAAAAGGAACACCACGGTTTTTGAGGCTCTTATTTGAACGAATACACACATGAAAAAGACAGCATATATACTATATACAAGGAGATGTGTTCATGTGTTTTTTTGGCAGAATGAGTCTCACCCGGCAGGGCAATGATCGTGAGAGTCATGGAATGGGGGGCGAACTGGGGAGGGCTATGAAACCTTCAAGACCTTGGTAAGGCCTTGCTCTTGTCCAGGGACAGACCCCCCTTGGAGCAAAAGGGGCTCCTGATATGTTTGCTTTCTTTCTGCAAGGGTACCCGTTGGGGATTCAATCAGAAGCCAAAAGGAAGCTGCTCCTTGGGGCAGTTCCCCCTTGAGACACCAATACATGTACATATATATATATATAGAGATATGCATATACAATCTGTTTGAAATCTCCATGACTAATCAAATGCAGTCATATACACGAAGTCAGGGTGATAACCCCATTTTGAAGCGTTATGGAAACCTCACAGAGGGATTCGCTGCGCAACAGAGCACGAATGATGAATGTTCTTTTCATCGAGATCACTTACTTGGGGCTGAACAATCAGTGTGAGTGCTGCCTCTATAGCCTTTGCTAGTGGTTTTAGGGACCACCAAGCAGAAACTGAGCATTACGAGGAACACCCCATGTTGATTGGTTATGGCAGGTTGCATCAGGGTTGTGGGAGAACTCATCAAGACGGCCTTCCATTGATATCACGGGAATGGTCGGAGGCAAATGCCAAATCTTACCATGGTTGCAGCTGGCTGTGATCTGGGAGCCACTTAAAGGAAGCCAGAACCCCTGAACCGTTCAATCAATGGAGTTGGCACCACCGATCAGGAGTGTCTTCTAAATTGGCTCAACCACTGTTAAAAAGGAGGGAGGGTGAAGCCTGTCACAAACCCAGTCCCTTTGTGAGGCCACAAGTTCATTTGCGCCAGTGGTGTTTTCATCATTTAGCGTTTTGGCGAGCGACTGTTTGCTAAATGGATGCATGGATGCTTCTATCCCGTATATAGAACAGTACATACCCCTTATACAAAAACTGTATATGTCCTCCATACCTGCAAACCCCGGATTTTTTTCGTCGCGAACGCGAGCGCGGGACATCGGAGGCACCGGAAAGTCGCAGTGGCGCAAATGGGTGGACTTAGAGCACGATGTGGTGTACAGCCCGGAGATCCATTGGCGCCTTGGCTTCTGGGCATTCCAATGGGTCTGTGTTTTGCGCCAGGTTGCCCAGTTTGCTAGGCGAGCCTTTTCCAAGAATCATTATGTATTCATATGTCGTGACTGAATATGGTTGATGGGTTCATATCTCGTTGACCGAAAACTGCTTGTCAGAATCTGGCAACACATGCATGTTGTAGTTTCCCAAGCCAATAAGCTTTGCAGGTCCATTCGGTGTTCATGTTTGGAGTGGGCGGGGCTTCTCGGGGCTCCATAGCCTTCGGAGTATGTGCCATGGTGGAAAGATCTGCTTACGGGTTGGTAGGGATGGTGAGCAGAGTGAATTTTCCTTTGCCATGACCACCCATATATACCTAGATCTTCTTTCGGCATGTTTCTTTGCAAAATGCTTGGCGGCGGACACTTCCGCCGAATCCCGCAAGATAAAATGACCGCCAAAGTCCGCCCATATCCCCGCCAAATTCCGCCGATTCCGCGGCGAATTGCGCCGATGTCCCATCACCAACAACTTCTGGGACCCTGCAACAGACGTCACCCGTGTACCCCCAACTCCCTCTTCTTTTTGGGTGTGATGTCGATCCCCAACCAAACCAATTAGCTTACCATGAAAGCACATATTTGTTCAAAATATGCCAACAAACAATGCAGGTCTTCGGAGGTTGCGGGGATAGTCCTTACTTGGGGATTCCTTGTTCCAAGGCGGGGGTGATTTTAGACGGGGACCAAAGGGACACCAATTGTTTGGGTTTGCTGTTGTAAGACACCCCCAGGTACCTTTGCGTTGAAACCAACCGGAGGAGTGCCCTCACAGACGGGCGGATGAAGTTCGTATTCCTGGCTCACACTGGCGAGGAGCTGCGAAGCTGGGTGAATCCACCTTTTCAGGTTGGAAGCCCCAAAAACTAGGTCTTTCAGTAGTGCCCTTTTACCGTTTTTTTGGGGAGGGTTCCCCTACTAAAATAGATAAAATAGACTACAGAAAAAAGGGTACCCTTATTCTAACCTCTCTACTGGAGGACCTAGAAAATCAGCCTTTTGTAGATGATCCTTTTGGAGGGTTTCTCCATTGACGCTCGCTCCTTTTGGGCACTTCTCGGCTTCTGGGACCTGGAAAATCCGAAGACTCGAGGCTTCCGTTGCACCAAGAAACTTCTGAATAAACCACCCTTGACCCAGATAGAGTCTTGTAGGACTGTAGTTGTTGGCTGTAGCCTCCGAAAGCAATTCCGGGTATGCGACCCCAGGGGGTACTTATTGCTGTTCACCCATGGCAAAGAATCAAAGAGGTGCTATTGGTTGGTTAGGCCCGTTGGCTGAGGAGGCAGTCATGTTGACAAATTGGTGTAGGATTCGGTCCTGCAGGGTTGCTCCGAACAGAATGACCCAATGGGAGGCTCTCAAATTAGTGGCACCCTTTGTTGGTGTGTATTTAAAGGGAAGCAAAAAGGACACCTTTGCCATTTTAGGGGACCCCTATTTTGAGAAACACCCACCTTAAAACGACAACACTACCAGACAAATCACAAGTACCGGTGGTTCTTGGGCCTTGAACCACTGGTTCCTCCGCACCCAAGCAAACCACCCAAGCAAACCACCCGTGAGAGGGAAGATGATTGTTCACCTACACTGAAAACGGTTTGGATGTGCTTTTTCTGGATTTCACCTGCTCTTCTCCCTCTAGGTTCTTTTTGCGTACGCTTTTAGTACTCTTTTGACATCTTTTTGTGGTGTGGATCCACAGATTTGCCACATCCAAATCCAGGAGCAGCTCTTCGACCTCCAAAACGACCCCTCGGAGACCCACAACTTGGCGAAGGAGCGGACGTCAGAAAGGGAGCGGAAAACTCAGAAAGGGGGCGCCAATGGTTTGGTGCTTTCTTGGGTTGGGTGTTGTGTGGTGCTTGCTTGCATATTTATAGAGATACGGCAATATGCGGTGTATGTATATATATATATATATATATTTAAATTGGGTGGTTTTTGTTGGCTTTTTGTTGTAGCTTCTGTTGTTTGTTGGTGTGTGGCATCGTTTTCGGTATGCGGCTTTTAGTTTGTTTGTGCTTTTCGGTTGGATTTCTGGGTTGAGAACATCAAAGAAGCCAGATTGCAGGCGGATTTGGAGGTTTTTTGGAGGCCCAATCCAGTCTGTAAAGGATTCAAAACTCACCCCGCCTTTCTTTCCATACGCTGGAGTGGTTAGCAACCCTGGGCAAACAACCCATTCACCTCTGTGAGGCGCTTCAAGTCCAACACACTAATCTGAACCGCCACTTGCTGGTAATGTTGATCCCTGTCAAATGAACCCAACCTATAGCAATAGCGGAGTCTCACCCACAAAAGTCATGAATGCCCACTAAAGCGGGACAGCGGCTATCAATGAACTCGCGGTTTATTGATCCGCGGTTCCCATGAAATTGCTTTCGACAGGGCTCCCGATGTCTTTCCAGGAATCCACTGAAATGATTTTTGTTTGGGGTTGCGTCCCGAGGCGGAGAGTCGACTTGGGACTTGGGACCCACTAAATTGATCAACTTCGGAAGGTGGACCTTGTGCGTTTTGGGCATCCTTTCTTGGATGGTGTGTAAGGGTGGTCACCCGGAGTGCCGACTATTTCATTTTAGGTTCTTGCGTCACCTGTAAACAAGTCCGTTTGGGCGATGTGGGCGCTTGTCGACCCCTGTTTCACACCCTTGGGCACCCACTCCTGGCAGATCGATATTTAAACTGCCTGTCCGAAACAAGTATCATTCGGATGTGTTGTTGTTTGTCCAGTACCCTTTTTGAAAAACCAACAGCCAAAGGGAAACCACACATGTTTTTCCTGGTGAGTTGCCGCAGGCGATCGGTGACTACACATGACGAACGGCAAAGGGATCGCCTCTGGCTGAAGCATAGACCACTTGGTTTAGGGTTCCCTTTCCATACACTAACAAGGGATACCCACAAAAAGACAGACCCACTTGGACCTTGAAAACAAGCTGGATTTGACACCTCCCAATCACTGGGGTCTTCTTGCCTAAACCCTTCCCACACCTGCAAAAAAAAAGCATTTCGAAGTCCAAGACCAAAGACCCAAACCGTCTTGCCCCAGCCGCTTTTTGTGAGGAGCCGTCGCATGCCTCGGAGCTGCGCACCTGGCGCGAGCGCATGGTGCGGCAGTTCGAAGCGGAAGACCGGGGCGAGGACCGACACCAGCGGCAGAAACGGCGGAAACGACGGTGGGGGGGTTCCGGGGGCCCGGGTAGCGGGTGGGAACTCCCCCCCCCCAAAAAACATATTTTGCTGGGAATGAGAGTGGGGGCATGAGCTCCTTTTGGGTTCCCTTTTGGAGGTAGTGCTGGTTTTCAGCGGGACCGGAGCTCAATTCGTCCAACACCTTGGAAGCTGACAGCCCCTGACAAAGGAGAACCGAAAACTCAAGTCTAACAACTTGCACTTTGCGTGAAGAATTGCAAGGTCGAGCCGCGAGTGAACACGCTGGAGCGCTGAATATGGAACCTTTTGTGTTTCAAAGACGCGATGTGAAGCGGTCGAAGATCAGAATTACCTTGCGTTGCCAAAAATCCGGTCAGCAAGTAGTACTTCGTGTAGTTGCACTAGGTGGGTTAGAGCCAACGGCTTGTTGCCTCTCACCTGCAACTGACCATGGCGGTTAAGAAGTCCATTTGACTTGGCAAGATGGGCCCAGGAGCCAAGTTGGTAAGCCCCTAAGGCCTTAAGGGTTTTGAATAAGTAGTGCCTCAATTGTTGAGTGGGTAGCCGGCGGGACCTGGCAAAAGTGACTTTTCCGATTCTCTAGCTCCAAAACCATGGAGCAAGGAAGGTTGTTGCTGCCCAACCCCAAATATTCAAGAAATTAAGCTTCCTTATGGTTCAGAGCGCCCCTGGTGTGCAGGGTTAATAAAGGGATTATGGAAGAATGGTGTCCAATCAGCCCATTCTTCCATTGAGGTGGTTGGTGGCATCACATACTGGTGAACGGTGATTCGGGAACGTGCCTGGAGTCTCCTTTTGATCCAGAAACAATGCAAGCAAAATTCAGGGTCAAAACCCCCATATCAGTGGGCAGGGTTGCTTGGTAAAGGGAAACCAAGCTTCAGGGCGCATACTTTGATGAGCCCGCCTTGAACAAGGGAACGTGGGGAGGGTTCTGATGTGGACCATTTTATTCTGCCAGAGTGAAAGCGTTTGGCATGTCCCGCAGCGCGGCGGTTTGTGTGCAGCTTGGGCTTTTCTAAACCTGCTCCGAATGAGTGTTTATAAGGGGCTCAAGGCAAACAAAATCAGTCGACCCACATGATTCAAGACCTGTTTCCCAGCTTCTTTTTTGTTTTTCTTGATCCGACCTTAGTTGTTTTGCAGTTTGGGCGGCTCCCGTCTTTTTGCATGGAGAACCTTTCGCTTGGTTGGACTTGTAGGGGAAGCGTCAAGGGCAGCCACCCAACAAGAAGAAGCTGTCCCAAAAGGATGCCCAATTTAGGCTTGTTTTGGGGGGAGCCTTCTCAAAGGAGGACACACATGCTGGTGCCATGTTCCCTGTTTGCCTCTCAACAAGTCGTCCAACCTGTCCAGACGTTAGCCCGGCCCCGAAGACCTATTGCCGGGAAACAACAAAACATCCCAAGTCTGGCAAAGCCATGGGTGGCTTGGCCCTTTTCGCCACGCATTTGCGCCAGGAGTGGGTGAGCGGCGGACGGCTGCAGGTACGGCAGCAAAGCTGTCTGTATGGGCCCAACTACCCTCTGCCGACCAAGAACTGCCGCCTCGTGGCTCCACTCGCGACCTGGTGCATGGAATTGGGGTGTGTGGCACGGGCGGAGCCGTAGGCATCGGTGTCTGAGTTCTTGACTCATTCAATTGGTTTTGCCGGTATCCAAAGGAACCACCCTTTAAGCATCAAATGGAAAATGGTTGGTTATCTAGACTGGCGAAACGCTTGGGATCCACGTGATGTTAGAAACAAACAAAAACAAACGTTTCAGCCTGACAAACCCCTCGGTTATGACCGGATGCGGTGGATTTTCCTGCTCCGATGGGCTGTGTTTGGCCTGCTGAATCTGCAAACGACTGAGGCATCCTTTCCAGGTGGGCCAAGTGTGGTTCAGCTCATAACTCATGTTGCACCCCATCGGTAAAACATACCCTTCCACCAATTAACATGGGAGCCTGACGTTTTTGGGGTCCTGCAAGACCATTTCCCTTTTAAAGGGACCGGGTCCTTGTCAGGTTCCACGTTCATTGGTGGGAGGGTACTGCCCCCGTTTTGAAGGGCGTTTGAAACCAGAAGGCAAACTCATCAAGGCCTCATATGGAACAATATCTCAAGCGTATTTTTGGAAGTTGACGACATCCGGATGCGTACTCCAAAAATAGTCCACGCATCACTCAATCCACAACTAACATCTGCTCGCAAAGGAACAAACACCCTCAAAAGGATCCCCCTTTGGGCTGGTTCCAAGACACCACCTTTCCGCCCAGGCAGAGATTGTCTGAGAGAGCTGAAACCGCTCAGCTCGCCGCAAAAAGAGAGAGCCCCGGCTGTGTTCAGTGCCGCCTGCGTCTTCCTTTTGTTGGATGATGTAAACGTAGTCAACCCGCGCGCTTCTCCTCAGAAAAGAGTGAATCCCCCCAGATGTGGTTGCCTTTTTCTGCCAGGGTCGCTGAACAGCTGCGGAGGAAATGAGAGAGGAGAGAGAAAGGGAAGGGGAGATAGTGTGTGCATCGCACATGGGATGTGTTTGATGTATGTCTTGGACTGGTCACCTGCCCTTGAAAGTGGGATATATTACTGAAGCATGACGTGATTTCAACATTTGTTCAGGGTTGTTGGAGGTTCCAGGTCTACGATGTTTGTTTTGCTTATCAAATATAATCTACCCCTCTAGCTTACAACTATGCCTAAATGTGGCTTAACAGTACCCACAACCACACTCGAACTATTTTGGCCCTTAAAAAAATTGTTTGCGTGCACGCCTTGCTTGCGGACGTATGCGGGCATGCCCTAAGAGCATCTAAGAGCACAAGTGACCACATAACTTGTCTTTTGGTGTGCTCCAACCGCCCCGGAGAGACCTTTGGACACAAACTTATGTTGGATTAAGCCTCTTATGGAGAGTCATTTGTGATGCTTTGCGTGGGAGTAGTGTTTCGGGTGATTCACTTCAGTGTTTCTCAAAATGGTGCAAAGCTCCCTGTTGGTTGGCGTTTAAGGGGAACCAAAAGGCAGCCGTTGCCATAGGGGGGGAATTCCTATTTTGAGAATCCCACGCGAACCGAATTATTCATGCCGGGCGGTTGATTCGCGTATGTGTTTTTTTGGGGGAACCCCCAAAATGGTGGTATTCTTTCTGGCTTCCCTTCAGCACCACCAAACAGGAAACTAAAAAAGCAAAAAAAGACGGACCCCATCTGTTCGACGGTTCTCAAGAAAACTAAAGGAAAGCCATGACTTTTGTTTTGGGCACAGACTAATTTTGAGGCACGCGAAGCCACGTCCTGGTTTCTGCGTCGAGGGTGCCAGATGATGATTTGGGACGTTTGCTGGTAGCATGGCGGTGCTACGTTCAGACTTAGGCGAGCCCTCACATGTTGAGTCTGATGATATATACATACATACAATATATACATATGATATAAATAGAGAGAGAGACAAAGACTTTATTGTGAGACATGCATATAAGATATATACCGATTCAGAGGATGGCCGACCATGGCTTGAGTCAGTATCCGATTGCCTCCTGTAGCTTGCTGACTTGAGCCATAGGGCATTGTGCTGTTTGTGTGCTGCCATGAGTCGTGTTCCCAAAGTCAGTGGCGAAGATCTTTTGAAGGCTTGGGCGGAGCATCACGTTGCACGGACTCTGTTTCATGGATGCGCTCAGGCGCCATGGACAACTGCAGAGGGACTTCCGGCAGCTCGCGTTCTGGGACCAGATGATGGCGAGGGCGTGGATGGCTAAAGACATGCTGGCCTTGGTTCGGACAAAGCACTGACAAAGCACTGATGAAGATGGTGGGGAGTTGCTGACCGCAGAGCAAGATGGTGACTTCGGAAGGGTGCTGCGGGTCTGGGATAAGCCCTATGAACCAGACTTTGAATCTAGCTGCAGAGTTTTGAAGGTGGACCCCCTTGCTATTTATGTCAACCCAGAATGGACATGAAGACATTGCGGTCTGCCCGCTGGAAGCTGGCACCGACAGGGACAAGACTGAATTCACGTGCGCTGCTTGGTGGAAGCTAGCGCTGACAAGGGCCAGGCTAAACAAGATGGAGCCACGCCCAAACTTGTGGTCGCCCAAACATGGCCACACAGACGTGGGTGGGCTGCTTGCTGGAAGCTAGTGACGGAGCCAGGGCCATGCACGGCGTTGACGCTCTGCGCACCATGGAGTTTCTCACCCCGACGTCGCACACGAAAGCAGGGGTGGTTGCAGAACAGCGCGCCTTCGCGAGGCTTGTCAGTGCTTGTCACAGTGGTCTTTGCCAGCTTCCTCTAGCATGCGTGTCGGGAGGTGACTTTGAAAACCAGTTCAGAATTCAGCATGTACGTGGTGAGTTTCAAGCTGTTTCGGGCACCGAAGCATAAATGGGATTGAAAAAATAAAAGACTCGGCGGCAAACGCCCAAGTCAGCCGCCGTTCAGCACACATGACAGACTTGCAAGGGATCCAAATGGCTTACTCTCACAATCGCAGCCTGATTATTTAAGCCTTATAGTCTTCAAATGAAGATGGCCTTACAAGGACCCCTTAAGAAAACCGCCCATGTAAAAGTGAGCCTACAGTTTTGTGCCGTAAAGTGAGGCTGACTTTCAATGTCAGTCCCCGGCCAGGGAACAACGGCAAGCTCTTTTGCCTCACTGGTTTTTGGACCTCTTGTTTTCGATGGTTCGAATTAGTCAGTGTAGGATGGGCCCACAAATGCCTCTCCTAATGTGCCTCGATTTTGACCAGCCCACAGAAAGCTCAAGCATACATTCGTCCGCCATCTTGCACAGGCGGAGAAAACAAGCCTGCAATGTCTGCCGTGTGCACGGATTGGAGGTTCTGCTTCAATGTTTGGTATGTGTTTTGCGAGAGTTACATGATGTCTTGGATGGGGTGAACTGGCGGCTTAACCATTTTAGCTCACCCTCCAGCTCTGGGCATTCTCAATTCACTCCCGAAGAGACCGCAGGTGAACCGAACGAGGCCGTGTTAGTCGCCAACGAGTGCACCATTGCCTGTGGACTGTGCGCAGGGCGCCTAGAGGATGCAAGATGGGATCGATGAATCCGGGGGTTGCTTCTTGGAACAACTAGTGCTCGCTATTTATGCTCGTCCATGCGCCTTGTTGAAGCTCTGTTTGTCTTTTTCTTATGGGCCATGCAGCGCAGTTAATAACATGCACAAAAAACGAAAAGGAGAGAGTTTCAACATAAGAAGTGATCTACTGATACCAGCATGTTGCCCTCATTGGTTCCATGGGCCAGCGAACAGCTTGTAACAATTGGCACCCTAGGCTTTCAACCCTCACTAACAATGATGGTTGACCCGATTTGGACGATGAAACTCCTTCGGCAATGGCTATACTAATCCCCCTACTCTTAATGGTTGGAAAAGGGAGGGCCTATGAGCAACAACTCGCACTTTGCCGAGGTGTACCACTAAAAGTTTGATTTGTCAGTGTCTTTTGGGATAGACCACTTTGATTTCACTGCCATGCGCCTTTTGCCTTTTGGCTCAAGTAACACACTCCCGACTAGAGTAGCTTGGAAAAGGGACAGGCGCCATTGCACGACGAGCTTCTTCACCATCGGGGTTGTCCTTCCAGTGTTGTTGGGGATTGGTAAGCAGGTGCTTGCCTTTTCGACGAGGTCCTCTAGACCTTGTTTGTTATTGTGCTCTTTAATTTTGCAACTTCTTTTTCTAGACTTTCCAATCAACCTCTACTTCAATCACCACAACCTTTAACCTGATCACCCTCCCCATCTACCCTGAGTTGTGTCACCGGGTACCACTACCTGTACTGCGTGATCATTGTTCAGGTTGTCTGTTTCTCGAAATCTCAAGTTCTACCCCAAAACACAGGTTATCAGCCTGCCCCATGTTGAAGCTGAACCGGATGAAGATCAACTCCTCGGAACCAACTAAACGTCACATTATTGGCAGGGGATCTGAGGACAGCCCAGTGTTGTTCCCCTTTATTTTCTCACAGGGTGATTGCCTTGGTCGCCTACATAAATGGAATCCTTGGCTTCTTTCTGTACCTCTTTCAAGAAATCACAACAATGTGTGCGAGTTTAATTTGGAAGGGCGTGAGGGTCCAGGTGCATTTTGGGGCCCACGGAGGGTTTTAGCACCCTCCCCTTTTACCCCGACGCCGCGACGCCGCGAACCGGAGGTGTCGCTGGGGCTTCTGACAGCCCGCGCGCCGCGGGCCCGGACTGAGGGCTGAGGCGCGCGCTGGCATCGCTGGCCGTTGGAACCCTTTGGAAAGGCCCGATGCTTCAGGGTTACCTTACTTTGTCATTCCCTGCGTTACTGGACTCTCAAGTAAACAGCAAAAATGGCCAATCCGCGAAAAAGAAGTGAGCTTCGATTTTGACTACTTGCGTTTTCTCAGTGATTCGCGAAGAAAAGGGTTGTAACCTAAGTCCTTCCAGTGAAGTTGACTGGCTGCTAACCAGGCCCATCCGTAAGCTTCGAATACCAGTCTCCATGACCGCAGAAAATGCGGTCTGCCCAAAATTACGAGCCAGTCGACCCCAAACGACGATTTTGCTTGTTCTGTTTGTTGAAACACCTCGTTCTTCATGGCAAATACCTCTTTTGGTCAGAGTCGACATGACAAGTGAGATTCTCGGGTATATCATATATGGAGCGGCTAGAATAACCGCGATTTTCCGTTGTCCTTTTTTCGCGAACGGCCAAGGAAGCAGGGAGGGGTGAAGAGCTCAAACAAGAACACAATTTGCGAGCCCCCCAAACCAGAGAGGGAGGTTGCTGATGCTCAAAGCCAGGTCCGGTCGAGCACGCCTTCCTGTGTTTTCTCGCTTTTGGTGGCCTCTGGTAATTTAAATAAGAGAAGAAGGCGTGGAAGTACTTAGCTCCTTATGTTACCGCCAACGAGAGCTTTTCTGTATGGAGCCTCTAAAGATCTCCAAGCCGAGTGAGGTTTCCTAAGCTCTTCAATCCCGACAGTCGGTGCCAGCCTCAAGTCTTAACCTTGAGCTCGCGTGCGCCATCTTGTTAAGGTCCAAGGATTTCTTCGTGTTCCCAGCTGGCCAAGCCCAATCTGGAAGCTGATTGTGAACCACCACTTTTGGTTCATGCCAATCCCTTCTGAGTTTCCTGTCCCAAATGGCCAGCTGTTTATCAGAATGGCAGAGATTGGCGCCGCTCGGATTTCAAGTTGTCCGTTCGATGGGCTTCCAGTCTCGGGCAAATCGGGTCGGTCTGAAGGCGGGGGTGGGGGCGGACTTGTAGTTTCAAGTTTCAGGTGGACTGACTACCCAAACAAAGGGAGTTCACCCCATAATTTGTTGGCAATATCCAATTTTGCAGGGAATGTTCAGGGTCCAGGTGGATAGATTGTCTCGGGCTCCGTGGGGCAAGTATCCAGGCGGACCAGATCGACCACATGGTGCATCCCGAGGCGCGCCTTTCATGGATGTCTGGATTCGCAGCCAAATTTTGCCCAACCCCGCAGCGCTTGCGACCCTGGAGTGTCGATTTCGAAGATTGGTTGACATCGCCGTTTAGGGGGAACGAGGACAGGTCCTCTCAATGAACCATGCGTGTAGGCCCTACCTGCCGTCGTTTCAAGGGCGTCCGTGATGGGCTCCACGACTAATCCCTACAGGGTAGGCCAAAAAACACCATCTTCCATTTGCTTAAGATGGTTTTTGCTCTCCCCTGTTGATTTTAAAGAGGATCTATTGACCGGACATATTCTTTTCCCAGGGCACTTAAGCCAATGGAAGATTCTGTTCCGTGCACCGCTTTTTTTGTGGACCCCCGAGCCAACGGGTCACCGGTTGACTTGAGGCCGCCAGGCCGCCAATTGCCACCCTCAAACCAAAACCTCGGTGGCCCAGCGGTGCTCTTTGTTCCTGTTGGGTGTAATTGTTCCCCTTTGACCAACGAAAAAGGGCGCCCATTTTTTTTCTCCCATGGCCACATCTGAGTTACAAAGGGGAAATCACCCTTTTTCGAAACTTCATCTTCATACTCCAGCTGGAAAGCCCACCATCACGCCTTCAAACCCTCAGATCCAATCGACGGCAGCAATCAGAGCTCGCTCGCCTAACTTATTAATACGAGGCTCGACCCGCAAAGAATTCGGTTCCTTTCTTGGGGACTCGATTCCTCATTTCCATGTTGTGAGCGGTCAATTGCTCAGATCTATCGTTATTTTGGCAACTCAGTGATTCAGGGACGAGCAAATGAGCACGGATGGCAAAGGAGCAAAAGCCAAGGAAGCAACCGGATGCGAATGGGAGATTTCCAAGCAATTGCTGAATTTGCTGAGGAGTGACGGGTACAGAAACAAATTCCACAAACGGACCATCGCCGTCCAAGCAGTTGGTAGGTCATCAGACATCTCTCTCATGTTTGTAGTAGTTGTTGTTTTTTTTGGGGGGTTACCAACTTGCCACCAATACAGGGTTACAGTGGCCCCTATTTCCGTTTGTTGAGCACCGCGTACGCATTCGAGGGGTTGATTCCGAATTCCGCCTGCGATTCTCCCAGTTGTTGGGTGGTTGCAAGAAGGATCCCGAATGGGGGAAGGTACCCTAGGATCTACATGCAAGGAACGGAGTGGTTGAAAAACGCAGCCGAAGGAGGGGGAGTTAAAGATCCCTGAAGAATACTTCAACCTCACCCTGCGTTTTTTGTTTTTTCATTTGTTCATTGTTGGTCGGGGAATTGCAGGACAAGCTCCACCGTATGTGGGCTTGTCTTTGTGTTGAGGGCACGCCTTTTTGTCTGGCTTTGGCAAACCCAAAGAAGATCACATATGCTCCAGACCGGCCAATTTGGAGACAAACCCATGCTGAGACCCAAGAAACGCTGTCGGACTCACTTTTGTTTTGCGGCAAACAAGTCCAGAGTTTGTTTGGATCTACTCAGGAAGTGAGCGGAGGTCGTTACAGAGAGAGAGAGAGAGAGAGAGAGAAAAAAACAAAAAGAAGAAAGAGAGAGAGAGAGACAGAGCGAGCTTGGCCATGGGCCAAGACCATTGATTCGCGAGCAACGCGTTGCCAAGTCTGAAAGTGAAAGTGAGGATGTCAAGCCGCCAGGCAGCTCTCTCACATGTCTCACTTTTGCCCTTGTAGTGTTCCTTGTGCTTTGTCCACCAGCAACCAGTTGTCTCTTGGCGGTTGGTTCCGGTTGGCCCTCACCAGCATGCTTTTACAGCTTAGGCAGGTGTAGAAGCCTTGGGGAAGCTCAGGACGCCATGCTCCTACAAAGGAAGAGGGTTGTTTGTTTTTTTCGCAGCCATTATCATCCAGGGGTTCAACTGATGTTGCCCATGTTGCCCATGTTGCCCGTGTTGCTCGAGCCGGTGACCAAGGCCAAGCAGAGCTTATTTGGCAACTCCATGGCACGAAGTGTCCAATCCCAAGACAGGATGTGAACATATGTGAACCCTGTCTTTGGGATACTGTCACTATTGACCGTCTTGGGATGTATCTTACCAGCTCACTTACAATGTCCCTTTCCGAGCTCCCTCCGGTTTGGGAAGTACAATAAACAAATGTCTAGATTGACCAAGCCCATAGCCTTGCGGTGTAGCTATGAGATGAGATATTTCCCCTCTTAAGCGTAACACCCCAAGCAAGTGATTCCATTTCGCTTAGGAAACCAAGGGTTTCCCACCCTTAAACAACAGCTAGTGGAACATGGATCGAAGGGCTACAATACCGGCAAAACGCCGATCGGGATCCAGCGGGGACATACTGTATGTATTCATTACTACAAGGGCCTAACAAAAGTCAATCAGTTTACTCTTCTAATGAAGAAACGTTTAAAAGCAACCCCAGAATCCCGTTCTAGTTCTTATGCAGTTTACCATACTAGGCCTTTATATAAGTGTCCATCTAAATGATGTCCATCAAAGGCCCGCTGTTAAAAGTCACACCCAAATGTATATGGACATATAATTCTATATATATATATATATATATATGTAGATAGATAGCTCGTTATGCGGTTTTGTGGCGCCATGAGATAGCCATGGGTGACTTCTACGGAGTGCTGGGGCTGACGCCCTCCGCCAGCGATGCGGAGATTCGGCACGCCTATAAGAAGGCCAGACGTTTTTCTGCCGCGAGTCGCCGAGTCGCCGACTCAAAGCGTCGAAGCGTCGAAGCGTAAGGGTCCTGATCGATGGATTTGTGTGGGCTTCAACATAGAAAAACATGGGTGTCCTGCTTTAGGTTAGTTTGGGTAGAAACAGATGGCGCTGGATGAGATTGGGTTTATTCTATTTACCAGGGCCATCTAGTTGTTTTGAGAACACGGCACTTCGCAGTGTACATGGTTGTCGTTGGGAAACATTTTACATTTTTGCTTATTGCGGTTTAGTGGGAAGTCCCCACTTAACTGCTTTTTTTTTTTTTTGCTCCCCTTCCAACGTCAAGCAAGTGTACCGGGAAGCTCGGGGCCTCGAAAGCTCATACCAACGCCTTGTTTAGTTGATATTATTTGGCAAAATACCACCTTGATCGTCAGGGGTCGACATTACAGCGACATCATACCTCAATGAAACAGGTTTGGATTGGGGAATTAGTTCTAGATGATCTGTTGTCAGCCCTGGAATGGTGGTTCGTTGCTCCAAAAGCAGCTTCCTTGGGATTCTTCGCGGCAGAGTGGGGCAGAGGAGCGGAGTCTCAATGAGCGTGCCGCTTTTCGGGTTTGGAACCTCCGTAGACTTAAGACTATAGGTGCTTTTTGTTTTTCCTTAGACTGGCCCACTGAGGGGGGGGAGGGAGACAGACTCACTCATCATCCAGTTTCGGTTGGGGGGGGGGATACCACATGATCCCGGGCTTGCTTACCAATATCAAATGTCATTGGGGCCCACAATGCATATTTCGACAGTGGCTCAAATGGTTTGGGTCCCCCACGCGTCGGTGCCATTGAGGTTTCTTTTGCTGAACTTCCATGAAACCAATGACTTTCCATCGGTTTTCCTCAGCTCTTCGCCTATTTGTTGTTTTGGATATTCTCCAATTTGCCGCGAAGCGTCAATCGTCCCTGCATTTTCGAGATGAACGTTCCACGTGTTTTTGTTATCCCCCACTCAAACCTCCAAGAATCGGGTCCGCAGTCCCCAATCGTTGAATCTGCAACGATTGTGCATGGGATTATCTCACTAATTGAGCCGCTCAGGCGGCTTTGCGCTGGCATCCCGACAAGAACCCCCAGGCGCCGTCGGGTTCCAGGGGCCACGCTTGGGCTCAGAACCAAACCGCCCATCTGCAAAAAAAAATTGGGCATAGGAGATCACCGCACATGGGTTTGTCTTCATATTATGGGGTTCCCAAAACATCGTTAGTTTCCTTTCCCTTTTGAACGGCTCCACAAGGAGTACCCTTAAAAATGAAAAACAAGTTTTGGATGTTCCTTCTTTCAAGGGTATTTTGAGGATCCAGATAGTGTCAGAACCAAAACACCCATTGTCATAGCTTCCTTCCAATAGAGTGAACATGGTCTTCCCAAGTGGCTGAAGCCAAATAGCTAAGTGACGCACTCCCAAATTCACATAGTCAACCCCCCTCCTCCCATACCCTCCAATCTAGGTGCCCTTCTTTGGTTGCAAGTGCAGCATCCAGGTGACGGTCCTTTACAAGGAGTAGTTATATTTCCTGTGTGTGAATTCTACTTATTTCCCCAGACCCGTGCAAAACCACACCATAGGTCAGGTCTTTCCAAAGCTTCATTGGCCGATGTTTAATGGCGTACAAGTGAGACATGGTGAGCATTTTCGTCGTTGCCTGTAGGCAACTGCACTGTCTCGTGGCCCAACTAAGCCGGTGCCGCCTGGTGTTTCGCCGGAAGCAATCATGAGGTGATACCAAAGGGTCACCTATAGTGGTATGTCTCAGACTAGGCAACACCTCATTAGTTTTTCTGGTTCCCTTTGCATTGTTGGGGCCATCTGTTCAATATCAAACGGACAATGGTCAGGGTTATTTGCCCAGTGCTTCCTTTCTTTGCTCGGCGAGTCATTCTTTGGTGAAAACATGGTGTTTTGATTCTTTCGATGCAACAAGGAGAACTCAACGGGCGCCTTAGGTTTCCTTTATCCTTCAACCAAATTTTCCCGAGCTGATGGGGTCGAATGCGAGCAAATGATATTCGCGACCTTTGAACGGGATTTGGCTTTACGACCCAAAGCTCAAGACAATTCCTTTTAAGATAATCCTTGTGTTCAGGTTGGTGACTGGATGAAAGCGGATACAACCAGAACAAGCAATATGACTATTCAGCTGCAGGGGGTGGGTTGTGAAGCTGGAATGCCCGAGTACAATCTTCCCTGATGCTTGAATGAAAACGCCAGCAGTTGTTCCGGCAGCCAAGGAAGCCACATGACATTCAGCTGCAATGGGGAACACAACAAGCTTGGTGTTTATGAGTCCAGCTTTGTTTGGTCGATGTCTGTTTATTCCCAGATCTCAAAATTTGGAGCAACACTTTAGTAAACCGTTAAACCCCTGGTTGACTAACGGAAGGAGGGGTGCCGTTTTAGTGGGACTCCCCCACTTTTGTGGGTGACAGCCTTATTAGTAGGATGGGTTTATTAATTAGGGGTTTTCATTTAGCGAGGTTTATATCCTCTCGCTTTCAGGACAGAGCGCAGGCGGAAGTCATGTTCAAGAAGATCGCTGCAGCCTACAAGGCCTGCAGTTTTCCCATGCGGGCACGGCATTGATATGGAAAATCAATGCGTCTCCTTCTGGGATAGATTAGTCAGTAATAGATGGCACTGGGTTCTGTTTGGTTCTTCTCATTTTCCTGTACCATCTACTTATTCCCTGTTGTTTTCTCTTGTTTGGTTTTTTAGTTGTTTAGTTCTGTTCGTGTTTAGTGGAGAAGGGCCGGCCGCATAAGAAAAAACACGCACAATCAATTTGTTGTTCTACCAAATATTTGCTTTGGACTTTGTGACTTTTGGAGTTTCGAGGAATCAACAACAAACCTCAGTAAGTTGTTTTTCGTTAAAGCATCAACCAGCCACCTATATGCAGGGTCATATGGGTGTGCCGCATTATGTGAGGGTACCCTCTTGGTCCGGTTTTTCCGTGGACACCGAAGGACAGAGTCACAATTGTGGGTCCCGGACCAAACCCCTATTTTAAGATAATGTCCGCATATGCTTAGTACAGCACTAGTAATAGACAGTTCGCCAGGACCCCCCACTGCTAAGCAATTTGAGCATCTGAAATACACGTTGCTGAGCATGTTAAAAAGAATTCAGCAACAACAGACACAACATGGTATGAGACTGGTCCCCACAACAAAACGCAACCAGCAAGCAGGCCACCCCAAACAACAATTCAAATCCCACCTGGTGACGCTTCTGCTGCCTTTGTTTCCATGCTCATGCTGCTGTGCCCTGCTTTTTGTCATGTGTTTTCCATTTGCTTTGGCAAACACAAACATCAGCCAGAGCTCCCTGAAATCCCAAAAAAGTGTGGCGTTCTGAAAGTGCGATCTCTTTATTTAGTCCTTATCAAAAGTGGTGGTTTGAGAAGGTACCCCACATGAGTGCCCAGCCCATGTTGATATTGTGGGTCCTCACGGTATTGGAGCTCCAGCACTACTAAATCAAATGGAAGCTCACTTCAACCGAAGGAAGATACAATCAAACTCCTCTTGCAATCTTTCCAGTTCTGGAATCCTCATTCCCAATTCAAACCGAATTTTATTTTGCCCATTTTTGCGCTGCTAACGTAGTATCGCCCAATACTAAAGTAGACCTACCCGAGTATTTCAGTTCCGGACTCTGGCTTTTGGAGGAGCCCTTCGCTAAGGGGCGGGGAGGGCTACTAATGGGGTGTCAACACTACACAAGGTATAAACGCTTGTCTATCTATCTGGCTAATCTATGTGTGTGTCTACCTACCTGCCTAGTCTGTCAGTCAGTCAGTCAGTCAGTCAGTCAGTCAGTCAGTCTGTCTGTCTGTCTGTCTGTCTGTCTGTCTGTCTGTCTGTCTGTCTGTCTGTCTGTCTGTCTGTCTGTCTAACTATCTATTCTATCTATCTATATATCTATCTATCTATCTATCTATGTATCTATCTATCTATCTATCTATCTAGCTATCTATCTATCTATCTATCTATCTATCTATCTATCTATCTATCTAATATATCCAATCTATCTACCTATCTATCGATGTATCTATATGTCTGTCTATCTATCTATGTATCTATCTATCCATCTACCTACCTAATCTATCTGTCTGTCTATCTATTTATCTATCTATCTATCTATATGTCTATCTATCTATCTATATGTCTATATGTGTGTCTTATCTATCTATATATATGTCTATATGTGTGTCTTATCTATCTATATATCTATCTATCTATCTATCTATCTATCTATCTATCTATCTATCTATCTATCTATCTATCTATCTATCTATCTATCTATATATCTATATATCTATCTATCTACCTATCTATCTATCTATCGATCTATCTATCTATCTATCTATCTATCTATCTATCTATCTATCTATCTATCTATCTTATCTATCTTATCTATCTATCTATCTATCTAGCTAATCTAGCTATCTATCTATCTATCTATCTATCTATCTATCTATCTATCTATCTATCTATCTATCTATCTATCTATCTATCTATCTATCTATCTATCTATCTATCTATCTATCTATCTATCTATCTATCTATCTATCTATCTATCTATCTATCTATCTATCTATCTATCTATCTATCTATCTATCTATCTATCTATCTATCTATCTATCTATCTATCTATCTATCTATCTATCTATCTATCTCTATCTATCTATCTATCTATCTATCTATCTATCTATCTATCTATCTATCTATCTATCTATCTATCTATCTATCTATCTATCTATCTATCTATCTATCTATCTATCTATCTATCTATCTATCTATCTATCTATCTATCTATCTATCTTATCAATCTTATCAATCTTATCAATCTTATCTATCTTATCTATCTTATCCATCTTATCTATGTATTTACCGGTCTATCTATCTATCTGTATTCGTGATCAATCGTGACAGAGATTGTTCAGTTTGGCACTTCACTTGCCCAATCGTTGTTTCAATAGCTCACATTAGAGGCAATCTCCTGAGATGACCCATTGTCCAACATCCACAAGGGTTTAATGTTGGAATCCCAGGGGAAAAGGTTGATGATTCCCCCAAGATGCTCAGCGATGCAGACGCTTCAGCTTTGTCCCCGTTTGAAGGCAAAAAGGGTCAGGACAAACTTTTTGAAGGCAAAAAGGGTCAGGAGTTGGGAGCCTTTGCGCAGGAAAATAACTAGCTTAATAGGCTCCGGAGTGGTTCAGAGTGGCTCTGGGCCAGGGTTCCAGAAGGGTACAAAGGGCTTGGGTTGCTGTTGGGGATACTACCCGGGCCTTTTACTTCGCTCCGATTGGTCGTTCTGGACCCTCAAGCTACCCTAAACATGTCGGACATTTTCCCACCTTTTTTGGGTTGCAATATCTACCATTGAGGATCGTGTGGGGCTCCAATCACGGGTCCCCTCCTTTGGGCTCCCTAGCCAAGCCTCAAAACGGGTATCTGCCGAAACGAAGAAGCCCAGGTGCTCATTGACCCCGCGCAGCGCCGCGCCTTTGACGCCAAGTCAGGACCAGGGATGGACTCGTGTTTCGGGCAAAATTCTGAATTTCATATATTTTTCCAAGGCTCCCAACTGCGCCCTTTAGCCACTTTGAGGCTTTGTCCCGTTTTTTGGCCCGTTCGAGCCTCCCATTGGACGGGTCCGGATGGCTGAGCGTGTTCCCATGGATTTCAGGCGGTGCGTCAGTATAGGCAATCAGCAGTTTTCTATTCGGCGTTTGAAGGGTTCCTACCTACTATACAGGTACATGGACTCAGTGGGTTAGATAAGTGAACCAGCCTAGCGCCGACATGAACATGGCTCGGCTCAAGGGTTACCAATTTGTGTGAACCGAATCACTGGGATGCACCAATTTATTGGCCTTCTTGGATGGACCTTCCTCCAAAGACCCAGGAGTCCAGGTTAGAATCCCGGAGCAGATTGGCCTTTGATCCACCTTCAAAATCCACGCCTATGCGGTTTTTGATTACAAAGGACTGTCCGAGAGTCCTTTGTTCAGTCATTCCATGTCGTCAGTTGGTTTTGTTTAGGGGTAGGGGGGAAAACCGTTTGACAGATGCATCAGTTTGCTCTCATGGCCGAAGCCTGGGACATCAAGAGCTGCAGAGCCTTCCAGAGATTCCTGACCTTTTGGTTTCTCCTTTTTGGTCTAGTTTTAGACATTGCCCCAAAAGGTGAACCATGTATTTGTGGGTCCTTTGGGCAAGTGAGAATAGAGATTCCGAGGCTTTGGAGTCCGCCTTTCCGTGACTGTTCTTTTCGGTGCCTGGATCCCACATCGCCTCGATGTTTCAGCCTGACATAGGCCTTGGGAGAACAAGGAGGACCCGGTTTTTTTCAGGGCTTTCCTTTTTGTTTTTTCGCCAGACGGAAACCAGAGGGGATGTGGACATCTTGCCCATGATGCTGTTTTTCTTAATTCTGCGGCGCCATGTGGCACACATCTGCACCCGGCTTCTCAGGACCGCCGAGTGGCTTGCGACGTGAGCCTGGCGTGCCTGGATCCCAGACATGCGGCCGATGGCCCTTGGAGGCTGTACTCTTGGAAGCATATTGCTTGGTTTTTGAAGCGAAAGCAAGGATCCTACCGTGGGTGGACGAACTCCTGCACCTAGGAAGTCATAGAATGATGATTCCCCTGTCAATTCCAAACAATTGGTTTCCACCAGGCAGGCCCATGCTGGAATTCTCCAAGGCAAGCTCCAGGCTTTTTGGCGCAACGCTCTCGAGTGGCACACAGAAAGTTTGGACTGGCAATCCACCCGGGAGAAAAATCACCGTGGTTGATCAGGTGTGGAAAATCGGTCAGCTTGAATTTAGGGGTCCTTTTTAGGTGAGTTCAGTTGAACATTGTTTTCCTTGCTTCGAGATTGGCTTTAGTCATTTGCCGTGTTAGTTTTGCAATTGAAGAGCACCTAGGCCGCCAATATTTTTTGACATGTGCCTTTCAATCATCCTCTCAGCCGATTCACCTTGAAATGAACGGACCCATGTCGCAGAAAGAGGCGTGCAACCAATCCGACCAAGTTCGTGGGCTTGGGTCTTGGGGTTTCTTTTTTGCCCAAGGGTTCCCTGAAGTGTCCCGTTCAAAGCTAGGTCCCCCAGTAGTGCCCTTGTACCCCTTTTTGGGGGAGGGTTCCCCTACTAAGATAGACTACAGAAAAAAGGGTACCCTTATTCTAACCTCCCTACTGGAGGACCTAGACAGGCTTCTCCTCCCTTCTCCAAGGATGCAGAGAGCGCCGGCGCCGGCGCCCGCGGCGCCGGCAAGTGCAGCCATGTGCGGGGCTTTGGGGTGGAACATGAGATCCGTTCAACACACCTTCCGCCCTGCCAGAGTCTACTGCAAGTCCGACTTTAACCATTTTTGTTTGGTATCCGTGGTGAATACCTTTCCCTTGTTTGCTCAGAATATGGTATTTGGAGGGGACAACACACACACACACCATGCCATCCCCTAAAGGGTGAGCCCATGGAACGTTTGAGCTTCGTTTCGATCCAAAAAAGCGATCGTGAATCATGTGACCTTCGTTGTCATATTATATGCAGCGGGTGCGTCAAAATAGAGCGACCCCCCAAAAATGGGTGGTTTCCATTTGGTTTAAAGGGTACCCTAGGCCTCAAGAAGAAAGCGAGCACAACACCCACATCCAGCTGTGTATGGTTAGTTTGATGTTGCGGGCAAAGAGCCTGCCTCACACAATTTGACTGCACAAACCAGGTGACGCAACACCAAGTTTCTCATGCCCTCAGTGCGAGCAAAGATTAAACCTGCGGCTTCCTGTTTGAGCCCATTCAATGATCTTGGCTTAAACATCCCACATGAGCCACCGGCAAAAAAAAAAGAGTTTCCACGATCGCTTCCCGTTTGAGACCATTGCCAAGAAGGCTAGCAATGATCTTGTCTCAATCATCATGAGTCATGAGGCGATGGTGCAACGAATCATGTGGGATCATTGAAGCACAGGAAGCGAAAGACAACCATTCCGCCCATTGTCTAAGCGGACATCGCCGGGAAACCCTTGCGTGTTTTTCCTTGCTTGAGGCTGTGTCGTTTTTCCTCAAGGGTGGATTTTGCAGGGAAACACGAAGGACACCAACAAATTTGCGGCTCCAGCTTTGGCCAAAGCCGTGTACGTTTATAAACCCCTTAAGTCCCCCAATGGTTGGTGCGGCAGATGCGCTAGAAAAGGAGTAGGGAACACGGGAAATTGAATCATTGCCGATAAGAAGCAAGGAACAACCACCAGTTAACAAAAAGCAAAACATGGTTCGTGGTTGGTTTACTTGCAGGAGTTCGGGCATTAAGTACCCCTCAGTCTCGAAAAAAGCGCGCATGGTGAGCACGGACCCCTCAGAAAGCGGCTTTTCTCAACGAGGTGCCTGTGTATCGGGAGGACATTTACCATACTGTGCTAGTTGGGATGAAGATATTCTGAAGGTTGAACACCCGATTTTGGTTCACCACTGTTGGAAGAAGCTTCGAAGATTCCTTCAAGCATCATCGGAGTCTCCACTGGAGGGGCCTGGATCTCCATTGGGTTGGTTGCTTCATCATGTCAAAGATGGATTACCAGAACGAATGAGAGAAGCTAGCAACCAGAAGCATGGCTCTCGATTTTTTCTTCGCTTCAACTGCTGGGCTTTTGTTTTTTCCTTGTTCGTTACACTGCCCGGTCAATTCTTCAGCCTTTGTGTTATCTCTCAGATGGATCGCATGTCTTTTTCGGCCCAGGCCGGAGGTGAACATAGAGGATGCCTACAACCTCTTCCGCGACTTCTTCGGGCACGATCCCTTCAAGGACGTTAGGGACTCGAATCCCATCCTCAAATAAGGAATAGTGTCCTCTATTTTGGGAGTAAACCCCATCTAAAATGCCCCATTGATTAAAATGTTTCATGTTGCAACCCAAAGAACGTAATCCCTCCGCTTTGGGAGTATGTCGAAGAAGGTTGATTTTACCCAGGGCTGGGTGTGGTTTCCCGTACACACACACAGGGTATTTGGAATAGGGTGAGAGAGGCAGAGAAAGAGGCACGCGCGCGTAAGGTGGCAGATTAGTTTGGCTAAGGCTATGGATTTATGGTTGTTCAAGCAGTCATGGTTGGGATATCGCAGAAAGGGTGAGTGTTTGCAGGCGTGCAAAAGAGGACAGTGTTGCTTTCAAAGGAGCCCGGTCATGATTGGCAAGTATGTTATTTCTGAAGGAAGTTGAGCAAGACACATTGTGGACCGGGCCATCATGCTCCGACCCCTGTGGGAACACTTCCCCAACATTTGATGTGAGAGTTGCCGGTTGGCGGGTTGTTTTTCCAAGGGTGAATCTAGTTGCCTGAACTCACCATCCTTCAGTCCCCTTTAGAGTCCCTTCAAAGTCCCCAAGTCCCCTTCAAAGTCCACTTCAGTCCACTTCAGTTCCTTTCAGTCTCCCTTCAGTCCCCAAGCCCCCCCGAAAGACGCCTGAAGCCCCCCCCAAGCTTAAGCCCCCCTGAAGCCTTCACCATTTGCTTAACTTAACTGGAGCCTTGCGTGAAGCCGCCTCTTCCGCCTTCCGTGAAGGCCGCCTCCCTAAAAGCCTTCCTGCAGAAAAAATATGTTGCGAAGGACACCTTCTGAGGGTTGCTTTGACAGAACTCTTTGGGGTTCAATACTGGCCTTGGAGTGGTGAGTCAATAACGTTGGATAGACATGTCTCATATTGACAATCTGGAGGTGCACATCTGAGGGTTTCAGATTTGTTGCAGTTTTTAGCGTCCAACAAATCGGCCTAGTGGTGAGTAAAAATACTGCAAATATATGTATGCTGGTCTTTTCAGGGGTGAATATCCTTTGGGTGGTGAGTCAAGCAAGATACTTTAGGTATTGCCCCCGCCCAGTGCAAAATGGTCTTTTCTACGGGGACTTTTTGCATCAGCCTGATCGTGAAGGTGTCCCTAGTTTTGGAAATGTTATGATTTGATTTTTTCAGTGGCGGTGCGTGAAGCGCAACAAAAGCAGAACCCGAAATGATGGGTTTGCAACAACTTCAACAGAAGCAACTTGCTGCCGTTGTCAAGCGCTTCCGAATCGATTGCACTCATGTTGGTAGTCGCTTGATTAAGTGTTCACCCTCGATCTTTGAATCACATGACATGATACCAGTTACCTATGCTATAAGTTTTATTGACGTTCGTGGGAGTGAGAATTCACGACTTCTGTGGGAACGGAATGTGAAACAAGGAGCTTTTTCCTATATTGTTCGGGTTCCTACCATCCTGTTGAGTTGTAAACTCAAACCTTTTGTTGGACTGTGGTTTCGCCTCATTTAGATAAAAGGCCAGATGACAGATGAGTTGTTCTTCATCACTGCCGAATATGTGCGGCGCGCCTGAGCCATTCGTCATGAAGAACGGCTGACTGATGGGGTCACCTGTGCCCTTCCCCGCTCCTGTGCGCCATCAATCTTGCGGCGTACCAGCAGGAATTGGCGATGCGCAAGATCTGCTGGAAGCGTGTGAACGGTGATGATATCCTGTTCAAGACACGCCCTTGGACTATGCCATTTGGCAAGAGGCTGTCAGTGAGACCGGCTTCACGCTGAGCCAGGGCAAGAACTACGTTTCGAATGCAACTTCGTGCCTAACCTTGGCATCGCAGGGGAGCATGGCAACACAAACGATTCAAAACGCTGTTTATCCCGTTTGGAGGATCCCAGACTGTCCAACCCTTTTCGAACTTAGAAAAAGCCCTTTCGAAAACGAGGGGTTAGGCAAACATGTGAGAATTCCGGTCGACTTGGGCTAAATTTTGACCCGATTTGTTCGCGCAAGTTGTTTGTTTTTGAGTTGCCCGGTTTTGGTTGGTGTTGCAGGGAAATCAAAGGGACACCGGTGCCATTTTTGGGGTTGCAACCAATGTTAGACAACCTCATAGAGATGCAGCTGGGTGGAAGCGGGTGGCGTGAGTCCCTCATGTTGGATTTAGTCATCTGGGTCATCCCCTTTACCCAAACAAAGGGAACATGTTGGATTTTAGTCATCCCATCCCGGTCATCCCCTTTACCCTTTGCCACACCAAACGGAGGGAATTGTGGCAACCAACTCACCCTGGTGTAACATTCTCGTCTCTCAGGACTTCGACAAGCTGGTCACTTGGACTGCAAAAAACTGGTCAGAGGGGCGCCCAAGGCTTTGATCGAGAAGCCAAGTTCGATCCTGGCAAACGAGAGTTGCTCAAAGAGGGAATGCCCCATTGTATTTGTGTTCGGACCCTCTTGTAATGGCGCAACTCCAGAATATCGTTAAGCTTGAGAAGCTGGGGTCCCTTAGCTTTTGTGCACTTGCCCCAAACGGGGCACCCTTTGAGTCATGGTCCAAGATGGTCGTGGATGTTTGCTCAAACCGATGTGGGTCGCATCCACAGATGTTGGGCCCTCCATCTAGGTCCTTTTGAGACCTCAACACGTGTTTGGGGGTGGCGCCCAATTTCTCCCTGAACACTCTAGAAGTGGCAGTCTAGGAGCCCATCAGGTTGCAACTTGTGAGTCTTTGGTCGTTTTCCACGGTGCAATATGGGCCACCCTATCCAGCAAGCAGCTAAACATATGATCTGCGCTGATTCGGGGCTACAACCAGCTCACCCAGGATGGATGCCCCCTACTCCTTTAATTCAGATAACCCCTACCAAAGCAGATGGGCGCTGCGCACCATGCAACCCACACCTCGTCTTTAGGTTCTTCCGGAAACCGTCGGAAAGTTGACCCCCAAAAACGGGTATTTGGAGCAGGGACTCGATCCAACCCAGGGACTTGCTCGCGCTAGGCGGCCAGCATGGGCGCCGATGTGTCCAACGGCTATATCGTGTCCTCCTCTAGGACACGCCCCGAGTTCTCACGGATACAGCCTGCCTTCAAAAAGGTGTCGCATTTTCAGGGCAAATTCTGGTTGGTGTCCCTCATCGGGGTGGCTTTGACACTGCCATCCGAAGGGTCGGGCTGAGCATCTGCGTGGGAGCACTGCCTCAAACAGGAAGCCCTGGACCTTTGTCCTCCTGAAAAAAACGTAGTTTCCGCCTTTGACTGGATATTCGGGAAATCGTAGCACTTTTTGCCGCAAAACCTGAAACTCCTAAAACTCCTAAAACACACACTATTGCAACGCTCGCGGCCTTTGACAGAGTAAAGGAAGGCTTGCAGGGGCAAACTGAATGAAACTCGCAAGTTTGTCAAAACATGCAACGGCATTCCAAAGTTGTGCGGTGCAGAAAAACCGTACCCATTTTGACCCCAAACGGCCCGCAAATGTCCGCAAAACTCCCGCAAAAACCCGCAAACTCCCGCAAATCAGAAAAAGTCGCAGTTTTGATCTTCCAGGCATCCCATGGTGTTCACTGGCACGTTGGCATTTGCTGCGAGGTGTATTTACTTTGTATGGCCAATGCGCGACTGGAACGACGCAATTCGTATGTGTTTTTGCCCAAATTGTAGCTAAACCACTAGAATTTGGTAAATCGTAGGGGTCTCCCACAACACCCAGAAATTTCCCAGAGTTTGAAGGTCCAGGGCTGCCATTGCGACCTCCAAAAGTGGCATATTCAATGGAACTGACTAGCAAACTGCAGCTGTTCAATCCCTTAAGCATCGCCCCGGCAAAATTGCGCGTAAAATAGAGGAGACTCTTTTTACATGGCCCAAAAGAGGATGTGCCAACCCCCAACCCCCACACAGACCCATATAGCCCACAGCCCCCCCCCCCCCCACAAAGAAAAAAATGCATCATTGAAGAATTTCCCGTCCGAAAATTGCGATTTCATGCTGTCCGCTGAACCTGCCACTTCAGGCCCAAAACATGGGAGATGAAGGCACCCTCGCGTAGACAAATGCGGGACAGAGCCAGGAACTATGTTTTTTCTGTGTAATTGCCCCTTTTTGTAGTCGCGAAGAAAAGGTGATGTCTCCAGTGTCAATCTCTTCTTCTCTTTTTGCGAGCCTGGGTTGGCCGCCCTTTTGCGAGGAGCTTCGCGACGCCTCCCTGCCGAGCGGCAGCAGCGACACGACCGCGGCGCCGGCCGAGCTTGGTGGGTCCAGCCGGAGGGGTTTTCCAGTGCTCTTTGGCTTTCCCTGTGTTTTTTTTTCAGGGGGTTTGAGGAACTAAACAGAGCGTTTGTTGGCTCCAACTTAAAGGGAAACGAACAGGACGCCGTGGTCTTGTTTTTTTTTGGTGCTTTCAAGGGAAACTGATGCGGGCTTACTTTGTTTTATTTGCTGTTTGTTAGAGAAATATGTATGAAGTGTAGACTGAATATGAAAGAGAATCAGGAAATATGATGCAGGTCCCTCGTTTGGGGATCCAATTGTTATTTCAGGCTGTGGACACAATGCCTTCTCAGGATTGTAAAGGCCCCCTCCTTTCAAGGACAAGCGCCCAAGACTGAGATTTTTTTGGTGGACCCCCCTGATTTGTCTGGAGCCCCTTCGGTCCTCGTCCTGTTTGATTGTTGTTTTTGTTAGCCCCAAATGGCAACCGCAGCGATTTGTTTTGAGCTACACAAGGGCCCTGATTGATCGCCCGGGGTTTGCTGTTCACGAACGGGGGCTAGGGTCCCCTTTGTGAGCTTGAACACCTTGTCATTGTAAACATGTTTTTGCGGGAAACACATTTTTGGGGAAGCCTTGAGGGTTTGTTAGTGGCGTTGTATTGGTGGGTTTCAACACAGTCAGAGCTTTTGGGCTTGGGGCTGCAGGGGGTATTTAAAAGGGGGGTTTGGGGATTGGGTAGGGTTTTTTGGGCAAGCCGTGTTGGCCCTTTAGGTTCTGGGAGGGAAAAGGGGAAACCTTGAATCGCGGGGTTTACTAATTGTGCACTGACATTATCGTGAAAGTTGCATATATCTGTGCCATTCTCAATAGACCCAAACCTGGGGGGTTGGTAGGTAAGGAGCATTGTAGTCATTTTTTTCAGGGTTTCCGGCAACCGTTGCCAAACGACCATGTCATGGACCACCTCTGAAAAGGAACACTGAATGAATGAAACCCTTCCATTTTGAAGGGGACTGTTTTTTGGGGGAAAGCACAGGTGTGGGTACATAGAGGAAACACACCAGAAAGCCAGGGGGACGCTATTTGCATGCTTGTAGCCGTGGGGCAGTTTGACGTGAACACTCATACCGAGCACACACTGGCGGGTTTGCGCCGCTAATGGCCGTTCTGGCAGCCAGGCATACGGTTTCGCGGAGTGTGCCCAATCCTTCGCAGCCGTCCTCCGCAGGACGGGGACTATGGGGTAGTTTCACTTCAGCCGACCTCAGTTTGCCCCCCTAGAAATTGTCAGGTGATTATGTTTGGTCCGAAAAGGGTGTAGCAAGGTGTAGCACACCAACTAGTCAAAGAGCGTTTTTCCTTTCCACTCCCTTTGCGAACTACTCTTCAATTCCTTTGAGGGCTTGAAACAAGTTACAAGATGGAAGATTTCGACTTTTCACCCGAAGGGTACGTATTGACCCATTTGAGCTGCAATCAAAACCCTTGTGAATCTTCATGACGACTTTCGGGTAGCCGCTGTCCCAGGTTTTGACAGTTTGGAATGGGATCCAGATCGTCGGACCAAAGCGTCAGCGAGGTATAGAACTGGTCGACTCCTTTCGGATTCTGTGACACGCTGTGTTCGCGGATTGGTTTGCACTTTAATTGGCACGTGTTTTAGTTGTTGGGTTTGTCGATTCCCTTTCAGAAAAAGCCTAGACATAGGTCACAGTCAGTGCCGTCCAATCTGAGAACCCGCCAGGACGAAGGTCCTTGTTGGCGCGATGCGTTAGTGAGCAGGCCAGAAGACGACATCCGGATGTCCGAATACTATTCTCAGTTGTTCAGTGGCACCCTTTTCCCCCTTTGTTTGGTGGATGCCCCAACAAAAATGGCCTTCCCCAAAACAGATCCCTTTTTTGTCCAGAGTCACTGAACAACTGAGTATTTTGAGGGTCATTTTGAGGATGTCTCTCCAAGAGACCCAGGTAGATGAAGGCCGCGTGGACAGTCCCAACAGCTGCCACTTTGAGCTGGGTTTGATTGGGGTGCCTGCACCATGGAGAACAGGTTCTGTCCGGATCATTTGTTTAGGTTCATTCCGGAGTGAGCGAGGGAATTAGAACCGAAAGGAAAAAGGAATGAAAGAAGAGGAATAGCCCATCTCTCCCACATTATCACCAAACCTCTGTTCCCAAGAGAAAGAGTTGGGGTGTGATGTGATGTGGTTAGAGAGATGGGACCTGTCTCTCGCTTCCTGGTCCTTCCTTCTCTCAGTCCTTGAAAGTTGCACGCCCATTTTACTCCGCGAGATTCTGCTTGAATCCGGCGTCAACATTGGAATCTGAGCGACATATTTAACCATGGTCCTTTCGCAGCGGCAAGGTGTGCCTTGATTGCAAATCCCATGAAGATAGCAATGCTTGAACCACATAGCCTTTGCTTTTCAGGGTAATTACCCGTTCGTTTGTTTTGAAGGAAAAGCATCAAGAATCAGCATTTGTTGGGATTGCTAATGATTGAACATACATCTTCCCGAAAGACATACCATTCACAGAGGCGTGATATCCGCATTCTCAGGGTCCAGGTACATGCTTCCGAGAGTCTGGGAAAGTGAATTCGGGGGGCAACCTCACAAAAGGGTGGACCGATTTCACCAAAGGTTCCTGCGGGGTTCCGGATTTCATTGTTTTGTTTTTTTTTGATGTCAGATGCGTGGAAGAGGGGTGTGTAGTGGGCCGTGTTTGAAATGACATGGATGTGTTGTTGTTTTCTTTCTCTGATAAGCATGTTCACCCCAGAAAGATGACCAGCGATTTGTTGAGGGGTTCCTTCAAGAAGTATCCGGATTTTCCGTATGGGCAGGCCCCCCCCCAACCAACCCAAGGGTTGACCGCTTTGGGTGGCAACATACATCCGGTTTGCCATGAGAGAGAGGATGCACCCGACCCCTGTCACAACCAGCCAGGGTTTTATCAATCCATTCCAATCCTCCAGGTCATGTTTTGGGGGTTTACTCGAGGCAAAGAAGGATATCCTCGGCGATTCAAATCTCAAAGTAGATTGAAATTGTGGTGTGCGTTCTTGTGCTTTCTCCTGAACCTTTTGTGACCTTGAAAAAGGAACAATATCGTTGGGCACCATCCCAATTCGGAATCCTTGTCGCTCCCTCAAATACCGCGCACGAGACGTGTCGACGTGTCGCGCCAGGGGGTGGCCTATCGTCGGTCGGGGGCTGAGAGTTTGCGGGTTAGCGGCCAATGCTCAGGCGTGCCCAGCGCCCCAACCATAGGTGTCCTGTTTGTTGGTTGTTTTGGTCGAAAAATAGATGGCCCTGGTTTACCTGGTGGTTTAATCATCTACCAGGGCCATCTATTTCCCCAAAAAGGACGCCTATGGCCCCAACGGACGTTGGATTTTGGTGATGGCCAGGTCCTGTCAATTTGGGTCGAGTGTACAGGTCCCATGTCAGTCGAAATACTTACAAGTAGATGTTCGTACATATGAACCACTGAGGTCACAAGCGCCAAAGAGGAAGGTTGGCACCTGCTGAGGGGCCGGATCGAATGGGAAACACATTTTCCAGCTTCAGCTTTGGACCTAGAGGTGGCCTCATACCCGCGGTCTTTTACACTTGACCAACGCGGGTGTGCTGATACCCCCGCAAACCATTCCCCAAACACCCCTTAATAAGAGGTGTCCTGGAAGCCAAGGTCGCCGAACTTGGCAGACCGTGAAAGCCGCTCGGAGGAATTGGTCGGCGCTTGGGCCATTTTGGGGTTGTAATGGGGTATTGGTTTGGGTATGGAACCCTCATGGCCAATGGGTGATTTACCGTTGGTGTTATTTTAAGCCAACCCCAAACAGATACCCTCAAAAAGGGACACGCCCATTTTTATGTTGTACCAAGGGAGTGCCGTTTGAAGTGATAATTCGCAGGAATTGCCTACTTTGGTATCACAGAACGACTATTTTTCCACAGCCATGACCCAGGAAACCTTGCCCGCCCCCTACTCCAAAAGCCCAATTTTGTGTTGGGATATCATGTCAACCCCTGACTAAAAACAAATGTCCGAGCTTTTACTAAAAACGTCGGGTATGTGGGGTAGATGTAGCCCACTTAACGCTAAACTGACGGCAAAGGCTCAACTAACCACTAGGCTTAGCTATCCGTTCCCTCTCGACAACTACCTACAACACTCCATCCCCAATTCTAGTTTAGTATTGGGATGCTTGGTGGTTTGCGGACATATTCATGTATCCCCACGGATACATATGGGTTGGGAGTCTGGGACAAAAAGAAGTGCCATGCTTCTTCATAGGGCACACAAGTGAGAGAAACAGATGTTCATGTATCTGACCATTTTTTGCTCTGATAGCTGCCAGCTGGGTGCCGCTTCTTCTTTTGGCAAGGCCGCTGGTCTTTTGAGGGCTGGGCTTGGCTCCTTGCTGTGTACTCTTGGGATCCCTTGAAGTGAGTTCAGGTTATGGTTGGAATCAACCACCCAACAGTTTCGCAGGCAGCCGGCATTTTCATTTTCCGCATGGAAGGTGTCTAGAGCTCACTCCAGGGCCCCAAGGCCGAAGAGGGTCCCAAGATTTGGGTAAGGAACCAGTTGTCGTTTGCTGCGTCCAGAATGTTTTGTGGAACGGAAAGAAGCGGAATGCAATATGAGGTGAAGCATGCATTTTTCTCTGATGTTGAGTTAGTATGGATTAAAGTACTCCACAACTCCATTCCAGTTATCCTGACATTGTGCGGTAGAAACCACGATTTGAAGGGTTGTTCCACTCCACCGGGGCGTGGGAGTGCTTGTTTCTGTAGCAAATTTGTTTTGTTTTAACAGATTACCTTGACCCGCAAACTACTCTCAACAATGGGAAATGGCCGCAACAAATATGGGGTGACCGCCTTTGGTTAAGGGGTGGTTGAGGGAACGGGTAACAAGTTCATCCTAGCAGAGCCCTGCTGGACAGAGGGAAACCTTTTGACTGTTTGTTTTGTTGTGGGGAACCGAAGCAAAACTAGGAAGACAGAGCATACCTGAGAAACTGAGCAAGGGCTCCTAGTTGGAACCAAACCAAATGTCTACCCTTGCGATTTGAGCACTGTATAGAGAACCAAGCCCAGGGAGTACAATTTGTTTTTGGCCGTGGGTTTTGTAGGCCCCTCTCTGATCTGAGATTCCTTCGCCGGCCCCGTGTTCAACGACATCATGCCCATCGAGGCCCTGCAAGGCGGGTTTGCTGGGTCATGGTCAACATTCCTCCTTCCACCTTAAAATTGTGTAGATAATTTTGCCAGAAGGGGTCTGTGCACTTCCATATTTGATGTGATGTTCTTGGCAAGGTTGGACGCTTCAACCCCTTGTTTCAAGCCATGGTTAGAAAAAACATATTGTTGAAATAACCTTCTTGTTTTTGTTGATTTAAATGGGGACCACTGGTGGGTTATAAGCAAATTCGGTTCAACCCAGGGAAAGCTTATAGCTGATTGGCTTCAACCAGAAACAGGAGAGTTGTTTTGCAGGCCTAAACGTTTGGCCCAGATAGGGAGGATCATAGGCCTGGAACATGGCGATTTGGCAAACCATTTGGGGGCCAATACCCAGCAGCACGGTATTATCCTAGAGCTTCTACGCTACAAGACCAAAAGGGGCCCCCTTGTTTCAGCTTGGGTGTTGAAACATCTGAATAATATTATATAATATAAAATGTAATATATCTAAATATATATATATATAATATAGTGTATAGTGTACACTAGAATTTCATTTGTTGATCATGTAGTGGGTTATTGTTGTTCTGTCCGAAAGTCACCTTGACTGAATGTATGCATTTCCGATGTGTACATATATATATATGTTGGTCACAGTGGGCATGTATCCATTTGGTGGTTTGTTCAAAGCACCCTTTTGCTCTGAACATGTTTTTTTTTGTTTTTTTTTTTTTTTTAATATCATATATATATATATGCATACATTTGTAAGACATGATGCGTTTGATCTAGTATCCACAAGCGGACTATGTGTGTATGTTTGATATTTGTCTGTAGTTGTTTGTTGCTATATATAGGTGGTTTCTAGGGTCCCTCCCCTTGACCGCGCAGCGGAGGCGACTGGCTCCAAACTGCCAAGGGCTGGCTGCCACGCAGCGTGCAGGGGCGGGACGTCATGGAAGCGCCTCGGCTGTTTGTTGAGCGCGAGCGGTCAGCGCCTGGTCCTATGTGGACTACCCAAAAAAGGCACCTTATTCTAACCTCTCTGCTGGAGGACCTAGCTAATGTTGACCCCGGATGAATAAACCCTTGTTTATGAATTTGGGGGTGTTCCCCTCCAACTGTGATGAATCCCCACCAGAACCAGGGACACCCCCCCATATTTAATACACAGGGGTTGAAAATAAATCTGGGGTTACCAGTATGATGTGCCCTTCCTCCCAAGTTGCCGTGGCAGTTGGAGGGACCCCCTGTCAGGTGTATGTTTGTGGGACAAATGGTATATGAACCTGGGTAGGGGTTTCCTTGCTGCTTCTCAGGGAATGAGAAGTGGAATGACCTATCTGTTGTGGTTTCCTTCACGGAGAGCCCTAGTTTCATTCCCAAACCCCGGTTGATTCTGTAGCCACTATTAGACCGTAGTGGATATTCGCCAGCTGCTAGGATTGGGAGGGTCCCCTTTTGGAGCCCCAACTTGTGGTGGGTAGGGGTTTCATGGGTACCATGGCCCTAGACAATCACCCTGTGGGGGTTTCATGGGTAGGGGTTTCATGGGTACCATGGCTACCGCAGTTGCTGTGGTTGGCCACCCCCAATAGAGGAAGATTCCCAAATCTTAGAGGCCTCTAAAAGGGGCTATCAGTGTTCCTTTTGCCTTCTTTGGGGGGGTTGCATTGCTGAATATTTAACAAAACACTCTTCAATGCTGCTGGTGTCATTATTTTGACGCTTTCTGGGGGTTATCAAAATCAGAAAATGGAGTTATTTCCCTTCACCCCACCACTTGGGGGGTGACTTTGCTCATGGTAAAATAATGAAGCCAGTGGTAGTGCTGACCATTGCGGACGTGACCCTTTGGACATCATGGAGGGGACTCATGCCCGGCAACAACTTTTGTGGTTCCCCTTCAAAGTTGGCGGCCATATGGACAAACTGGTTTGCCTTGCAGCATGTTTGTTGTGTAAACCAGGTCTCAACCCTTCTCTTTTTCCTTTTAAGCCTTCTAAAAGATCACGTTACCAGCTGGCCAGGATCCAAATCCAGCTCAAAGCTAAGGGGTCTCAGCCCAGATAATGGGGGTGGCTCGGGGGAGCTGAGGGGTCAGGTTCGAGGGTTCCGGAGGTTTCGGGAAAGTCTGGGTTCAAAGAAAATCCAGAGGTTTGTTTCGGGGCCTGGAGCAGGCCAGGTGTAAGGTTCAAGCCAGTTGGCTGGTGCGGGCCAGGTGCAAGTTTCAAGCCAGTTGGCTGGTGCGGGCCTGGTGTAAGGTTCAAGAAAGGGGTTCAAGCAAGGTTCCGGACGTTGGGGGTTGGTGTGGCACAGGCCAGGCGTAAGGTTGCAGCAAGGTTTCGGGGTGCTCGCGAGGGTCCAGTGAGGGGTGTGCTTGTAGGTTTCGGGGTGCTCGCGAGGGTCCAGTGAGGGGTGTGCTTGTGTTTTTTCCGCATTTGCAAAACCCACACGGGCATGTTGCTGTTGGGGATATCACCTGAGCTTATTTTTGTTTAGGGAATCCTGTTGGAATGGGGATTTGATGGACTGTGTATATGAACCTCTGTTACCTTCACAGCAGCATGTGGTAGAGGTACGGTTGCTGCTTTGTTTTGTGCAGATAGACAAATGCCTTATGTAAACCTGTTTGTTTGACTTTTAGTAGGTATGACACTACAAAGTTTCTGGCTTGTTGGTCTTATCAAATGCTTAGGGTAGTAATTAGAACCACTTACCAACAGGTGTGTAGTAGAAACCCCTACTATCGGGCATGTTAGTGGTTCGGTTCCTACCTGTTTTCCTATAGTTGATAGTATGGCCTTTCTATAAACCGTTATAGCCATGTGGTTGGAGCCAAATGTCAGCGCGGGCCCACGCACAGCTCTGCTCATGAACGCACCGCGAAACGAAGAGGGAGCAGCCCAGAAATAGATCACTCCCTCTCGATCTCGCTGAGCATGACGGTTTGATGGGTTCGAACAATTGGGTTGCGGGATTTTTTGCGACGAAGACATGCGCGTAGCCTCCTGGAACCTGTTTGTTTGAACTTATCACAAGTTTGAGGGCCGTCCAATCTCACAATCATTCGGATGCTCCTTGCAGGGAAGTCTTGCTTCAGGTTAGTATGAAGGGAAGCCAAAAAAGGAAACCCACATTTCTGGTCCCCGAAAGCTTGTGGGTATCTGGGATGCTTTGGGCCAGCTGTTGGGAAGGGTTGCGGAGGGTTTCAGGAAGTTCCGGAGCTGGTGGGGATACCACCTGCGTGGGCTGATTTGTTGTTTTTTTGGGTGGAAGATCCCCAATTTCACACATCCCGATTTCGACTGCGAGGTACTCGACCCATCACTTGTGCTGCAGGCCAAGTGTATCTCCGCGCAGGCGCGAAACGGAATGACTAGGCTGTTGGATTTGTTCATTTGGGCCAACCAAGTAATCATCATCGACTGATATAGAGGATCCAAATCCTTGTGAAGCAGGTGTTTTTTCCATGTGTCCCTGGAAGGATTCTGCAAAACACGGAGCGCTGGCCCCTTACCTTGGGACGAAGGGCTTGTTTGACTCAACATAGCCTTGACCCTTCAACTACCCTTAGACATGGGCAAATCGATCCATCCCTTTGATTCCATGGTGCTGCTTTGGGAGGCAAATAACCACCTTGAAACACAAGCGTGTTGGGTAAGTTGAGGTTCCAGGAGCAGCCGGTTTGCGACAGGGCGTGGCCTACCGGAGGAGTACCGACCTGGCTGCTCCTTGGGCTGCACGCGATAGAACTGAGGGCAATGTTTGGGGAGCGGTCGCGCTGAATGCTTCGCAACGGGCTGGGATGTTCTTCCATTGAAGGGGTAAGGTGACCCAACTAATCAAAGAACATGGAACCCGTTGTGTTTTTGTTGCTCGTGCAGTTTATGTTTCTTACGGGGCCGAAATGAAGAAGTCCCAACCTGTCATAAGGGGGATCCCTCATCAAATGTTTGGGGGGGGGGGAAGGAGCTGCAAGAAGCAACATGTGTTGCTACCATACCAAGGTTTGGGATGCTTCTTAAAGGCCATGTTCCAGCTGGCATTTGTTTGAGACTTGCTACCAGTTTTGGAGTGGTTTTAAAGGATGACAAAAGGCAGTCGCGGCCCATTTTGAGGCTTCCAAGCCCCTTATTCAAGAGACACCCGTGCGGCTTTTCGTTGGTTCCTCTTTTGTCAGGACTTTATGCAGCTTTTCGTACGTGGTTTTGGGGGCGCAGGTACCCTCCCACCCACTTGCATGGTCCCACCGAGGATCTTCCCTTGCTGGTTCCTGGACTCACGTAATTGGCAAGGATTGGTCCATGTTGGCGAGTGACAAGTTTGGCTCTTGTTTTTGGGCGATCCACACAAGTGAGTTCTTTGCATGGCTGGCCTTTGGTGTGCTTTCCAGTTATCCTACAAACGGTGTTCAACCTCTTGCTCGGGGGAGCTTGGAGCAATCCAGATTCTTTCTGGTGGCTAAAGTCCAAAAGTCCGCACCCATTTTAGCGGCAAGCAATAAGACGGCTTATTTTTTTGGGGGCAATCTCAGATGTTCACCACTTGTGACTCATGAAGTCAAAGTTTCGTAAACAACCTCAACGGGTCAAGGGGATTTGTTCCGTTAAACCGCAGGTGCAGGTCCTTTTGTTTCGCTTGTTTTTTCGCTCAAGGACCGAATCGTGGAGATCAATGGACCCGGCTTGGAGGAGGTGGTGGCGGTTGAGGAAGCTAATCCTGGTTGACGTGGCCAGACGACTGAGCAAGATTGTCTACGAGTATATGTGTATAGGGACATGTGTGTGTGGTGTATTTCATGTCATGTGTTTGTGTGTTTAGTGTGTTGTGTATTTATTGAGATATTGATTATTTCATTCATGCATTGTTGTATGTATCCATGTACCTAGTGTTTTATTTTGATTCATTGGTTTATTCATTTAATTAAATTGATTTGTCAATTGCTCTAGTTAGTGTGTGTGTGTGTGTTTACGGTTGTTTGTTTATTTGTTGTGTTTTATTGTGTGTGTATTGATGTATTTGTTTCTTTACTGTGTCTGTGTATTGATGAACGTGTTAATTTACTTAGTTATTTATTGTTTGTTTGTTGTTCTTGGAGCACATATTCGTGTATGGTTTATATATATGTATCTAGCTTTGTTTCCTTGTCTATATTGTTTCCGAATAATTTGTATATATATATATACCGTGTATATATATATATAGATGTATATATTCATGTTGAAACTCTTGCGGCTTGTAATCATTGGTGTACATGTGCAGGCACTTTCATGACCCGAAGGAAACAAGATGCGCGACCGGTGTCGCGGTTGAGTAGGGTGCGACAAACATTGGTAGCGGAGCTGGGAATAGCTCAGCTCCAGCCAGTCTCAGTAGGCTGGCGTGGAGCAATGTCGGAGTTGGGCGCCAGCCTAAAATGCTTCTTGGGTGGCGATTAGGTGGACCACCGCGAGTATCGCCAGTCGAAGCAGTGGGTGGCCAGTGGGTCTGTAGAACTGTCGAAGGAAGCTCGCGGCAGTTTTGTATGGACCCCTTTGCAGGGGCGCGCGCTGGAAATCGTGGAGCATCTCAGCGAGGACCAGTACCAGAAGGAGGGCGGCGATAAGATCTGAGCTGGATGCCTGTTGGCCTCAGAAGGAGCGAAGTGATGAGACGGGAGAGCACATCGGCGAGATCTTTGGCTTGAAGCCTGCGCGTGCTTCGACCGCTGTCATCGGAAAGTTGGTGTCTCCTTTCCAAAGGATGGATCTTGCTGCAGTGTAGTGGCACGCCGGAGGAGCAACGGGTGCTGGTTCTGGCACGCTTGCACCTTGACCTGAAGTTCGATGTCAAGGTGACCTGAAGTTCGATGTGACGGCGACAGCAATGAAACAGTGCTTCCCAGATCTGGTGGTGCCAAAGAGCCGTGCTGCTGGAGCAATGGAATCCGCGGAGCTGTCCGGCGACGCGGTCGAAGACATTGACGCCATCGAGCCTCTGCAGGAGTTTCTGGATGTCGAGCAGTTCCTGGCCGAACACCAACCAGCAATGTCGGAAGATCCTGCTGTGTATGACGAGCAGGAGGAGGTCGACGATATACTCGCAGTGAGCTGGAAGGACGCAGGGCCCCTGGAAATTCAAGTAGCACCTATGCTGCTGGTAGTGTACAGGTTTCCGATTATTTTGCATTCACTGCCGGAGTCTGTTTCAGAGCATTGACCCTGTTGGAACAACTGCGGCCCAATCCCAACCTTATTTGTCGGCTCGAGATGCACTTTTCACAGCAGGCATTCCCTGAACCAACCATATGTGACGCATTGCAGCCAACAACGCTGTTCGCCGTGCCCCAAGCAACATGCCGATTTGTGCACGGTAAACCGTACCATCCCACTAACTGAGTTGGCTATCGTGTGCCACTCGGACGCAGCATAACTCAAGGAGGAGGATTCATTGTAGGGGTGTTTCACAAACTTCGACCTGCCTTGTTTTCAGTGCCCCATTGAGTCACATGTGAGAAATTTGATTCTTGCCGTGCGTGCGCAGTCGCTCACCTTGAGTCAGCAAACAGCACAGTGTGTGTCAGAAACCTGACATCCACGCAATCTCCAACGCTCGGAGCCTTGCAGCCGACGAGCAAGGACAAAAAGGCCTGCCGTGCGATGTTGAGCAAATCCAAGGGCTGCGGTGTCCTTCCGTCACTCTTTGCTCAGTCGTCTGCGGGAGGATCTGGATGATCTGGGACACGAGCGTGGCCATGGTCTAAATGTGAAATCCATGCCCATGCCCAGCACAAGTCCCAGCCATCACATGCCCAACCATCCTGCCGGAGTAGTGTCACTGCACCAGTGGGGCCGCACTCTCCTTTCGTTTGGGAAGCTGAAGGGCAAGAAGATGTATGTCCAATTGCCCGAGTCCAAGAGTGCGGAGGATGTCAAATATAAGGCTGATCAGTCATCTTGACAGCGGATCTCTTCAGGTCCAAAGTATTTGCTCTCTGTGCGTGGTGACTCCGCCTCATTGCCGGGTTCAGACCGCCAGAGTATCTTGATTCCCGGCACTGACATCAAACCTCAGCTTGCCAGCTCATGAGAGCCGTAGAAAGATATGGTCTGGAAGATTTGCAGTGAGTGTCGAAGCGCTTGCGGCTTGTAATCATTGGTGTACATGTGCAGGCACTTTCGCGGCCCGAAGGAAACAAGATGTGCGACCGGTGTCGTGGTTTACCAACATCAATGAATGTATATATATATATATACATATATATATATATACGACTATGCGCATGTGTGTATATCTGAATATGTATGTATAGTTCTATATACATATACAATACATACATACACGGGGGAACCGTATTGTCAAGAGTTGGCTTGGGCGGCAATACATGCGGGGTGGCGTCGGAATAGAAAGGCTTCAAGGGTGCTTCCTTGATTCTACGACGCAAGTTCTCCAGGTTAGATTCTAAAGAGGTCGGGCTTGGTGATTAATGTGGGGTTATGTGCGCCAAAGCCAACATTCATCAAGTGCAGGACAATGTTTCTCCACTGGGCGTGAGAGCTGTAATGTGATACATCAGATTGCTCACGTGTGGAGTGAAGCAAGACACACGAGGGGTTTGCGCGCGGTGGGGCGTGGGGGATGCTTCCGTCTTTGAGTCAATTGCAAGCAGGCTCTGGCCGAGGTTGGCTGTGCGAGGTGGGCGGGTCATGCTTCCGTTTTCCCAAAGGCCAAAACAGGTGCTTGAAACTTTTCGCAAGCAGCACGCTTGTCCCCAGTTTACAGCAGGCAAACTCTAGCCAAGTCCGCGCCCACGCTTAAGAAGCCGCAAAGCGTTGTTGACCTCGTTCAACTCTTGACGGTATTATATCGACAAATACATATTATATATATGTATGGATGCTCCATGGTTCACTGATGTCTGAACAGCGGGAGTCTTGAAGAACAACAAGTCAGTATATATGCGCATATTTATATGTTCGTACATGCCACGTATCGATATATAACTATCTACATTTATACATTTATATTATGTACATTATTTTGGACAACTATCATGGCTTTATCTGGGAGCTCGCCCACGATGAAGGCCCCTTACTTCGCGTGATGCCTAGTTTGCAAACTTGTGACTAAAAACGTAAATTGTTTGTCCTAGACTTGTAGCAATGGTTGGTTCAAAATCAGTGGGCCTTAGGTTTCTCTGAGGTTTGCCCTTGGCTTCCTTTAAGCCAGGCCCAAAAAGAGTACACACGCAAGCAGACACACAGACACACACCAACATTGTGGCTATGTCTTTTAACAGCCTTGCAGGGTTGTTGTTGGACACAAGTCCCCGTGTACATGATATCCACCAAAGAGCCCCAATGAAGATTGCAACACATACGCCCTTACTTTTTTTGGGAGGAGTTTGGTTTGAGGGGGCCGACTCTGGGCAGCCGGTAGGAGCGTACTGGGGAATGGCTGCGCTGCAAAGACGGCTGGCTTCCATTGTCCATAGGCGTGGTCTGAACGTGTTCCGGTGATCCAAACCTCAATACGAAAGGCATGTATACGCATTGCGTTTTAGGCTTAGATTGGTAGCATATAAGCACCCATACCTCCAAAACCCGTGCCTAGACATGCCCCTGAGAATTCCACGGCCAAACGCCAAGGATTGAAAACTGGTACCATAGGGTCCTCGTTTCGGCGGACCATGTTCTACTTGTGACAGGGTCTTTGCAGCAAGCCTGTTTTTCATTGGGTTGTTCAAACTGGGGCTCCACATTGGGATGGTTTCTTTCATTGCTGTTCTGTCGAAAATTCGCATGTCTTGCTCTGTGTATCCACGGGAGCCCCCTTTGTAGTGGTTGGTGAATACCTGGAGGCCCAATTGATACAAAAAAAATGCTCAATTGCATTTTCGGAGTTCGAACGTTTTTTCTGCCCGATTGGAAACGAACAGTTTTGAAGACGGCTTGGCCCGAAATGCGCACCGCGTTTCGAGCGCAATTTGGCGCAACTTCGGGCGCAATTTCGCGCAACTCGGGCGCAAATCCGCGCAACCGAGCGCAATTTTAACAACTGCCCAAATTCTGGTCACTACACTAGCGCCAAGTCGCTGGCTCCCAGAAACGTGTCGGGCACTTTTTTCGCCAAACACATTCGAGCACAAATTTCTGTATCAATTGGGCCTCCAGGTAGGGATTCTGAAAAAGTCTGGGAGGCAGCATTACCAACTGCACAGATTTAGGGATGGTCACACAAAAGCCTTGTTTGGGGCGGCTGACTACCGTCCTGGTGTTGTGAGTATCTTCAAGGTTAGGCTGGGATTGAACAGGCTTCATTTGTGTTGTGTTTGTTTATGTTTTGGACGTTTTCTACTGGAAGGCGAACCATTCAGTGGCACCTTCAATAATTGGAGGACATGGAGGCTCAAAACCCGGGGGTGAAACAAGAAGTTCCACTGTTGTTTGTGTTGATTTGGTTGGTTTGCTGCCTAGGGAACCCCCTCCAAATTGGGTGAGTTTCCCTTGTTTGTTCTTCAGAAGCAGTGCCAAAAAGAGTCCCAGTAAACAAAGTGCCACCCATGTGGGGTCTATTGATTTGCTCTCTAAATTGGCAGAGTAGAACCCCAGTGCTTGGTACCTTTTGCACGGACTGTCAGCAGCTCCTTTGCCAGTTCTGTCACTGCTTTTGTTGCTAGTCCTGGACCACCTGGCAGGCTATGAATCCGGAACACCCTCCCAAATGCCCGGGATGTCCATCACTTGGTGGCTCCCAGCCATCCGGTTCCTTAGTTTTTTGCCTTTTAGTCTTTAGTGGTAGTTTCCATTTAATCCACTAAAAGTTAAACTTTTAGCGGGGATCTGGCAGCCCAGGTCAAAGGGCGCATAGATGGATGTGTGTGTGTGTGTGTGTCTGTGCCTGTCGGTTTGTCTGCGTGTGCGTGCCAGCCTGTGAAGCTGTCTGTGTCGGTACACTTTTTGCGGGTGCCCCTTGCAGCTTGGTATCACAGGAAACCAAAAGCAACGAAAACCATTTCGGGGGGTCGCTTCGTTTGATACACACCCATTTGGCCTCCATATCTCCCGAACCCATCTCTGCGCTTTTGAAGCAAAATAGGGGGCCTGGGAAAAATAATCTGCTCACCTGTTGGTTTTTCCTTTTGGGGAACTCAACAAATGCGGCCCAGTGACTTCATTTGCCTATATAGTAGTTAACGAATGGAATCGCCCTGGCAGAAGAAAAACAAGATGGATCGAAGGCTTACCAGACCGGCATCCACTGGAACTTACTAAGAACGCAATGATATGATCCCCGTGCTATCCCACAGTTTCTTAGCTGCGAAATGGATTTCGCTGTTCCTGGCCCTGGACGCGTCACCCGTTGTACTTCGGGTGCTCTGGAGCAAAGCGTGTCTGGAAGCCACACCTTCCGCTGGATCTCCGTACGGCTTGTTTGCCGAAGGCACCGATCAGCAAGCATATGGCCATGGGTCAAAATCCAAATCATACCCCCAGTGAACATCCGATTCAATCCAACCACTAAAATAGGTTCTAAGATTGGTGCACCTTCCCCAAAATGGTCCCACTGGTTTTGACCCAGAGCCATATCAACTTTAGCCATGTTGCCTGCACACCCAGGCGGCAATCCCGTCTTCCAACTCTATGCGGAGACAAGACAGGCCAGATCAGATGTGGACTGGCTTGGGGCTCTTTGTAAAATAGAGGAACCTCCCAAAATGGTTGGCTTTGCTTTGGTTTGCGTTTAACATGACTCCAAAAAACATACCCTCGAACAGAAGACACACCCGTATGGTTTTTAGATTTGAAGGTTTGCTAGATTTAGGGTTTCTTGGGGAACTCAACCTGAGAGGAACCAACATCGGCCTCGGTCCACACCCCTAGTTTTACGCATACCTTTTTTAGTGTGCGTGTAAGGATGAGGTACTTGTACAAGATGAGGGCGATAGAGGGATCCTGTACGTTTCTTCTATTGTTGGCATGGGTTTAAGTGTTGTAGTGCAATGTTCCAGAAATGTGACTCCAGACAGATGAGTTTGTCTCAAGATAGCCAAATAATGGTTTGTTGCTTTGGTTTCCCTGGAAACAAAACAAGCACTCGGAACGACACCCTCATCGAAGATGCACCTCACGAATCGACTTGGAACGTCGGAGTTGTCCAATATGTCTAAGCCAGCTGGACTGGTTGTGAGTATTGACCACTGAAAGAAGGCGGGGCCACTTTTCCCTATCACAAGATGAAGCTCCAAATCCCCATCGCTCGAAATTTAATTTGGTTTCCTTTGGTTTGCTTGCAATCCACAGCCACTAAAGGGTGAAACAGAGAACATAACGTTTCGCTCAGCCCATTTCCAGGCTCCCAATCAATCGACTGAGTCGATGGGCGATAGACATTTGCACCCTGTCCGATGTTTCCAGGGTTGAGTCCAAAACTGGGGTTGTTCTCCCTTGGGCCTACCAAATTCTGGTGTCATGTCGCTGGTTTCCTGGGTCAAGCAGTGCACAAGCAACCCGTCGCGACGCCTGTTGCTTGCACTTCAGGTGCAGCCAGCTCCTTCTGCTCCGGAGCCTGAGCCCGAAACTCATCGCACCTGGCAATGGCCTTGGGAAGGCGCGTCGAACGGATCATCGATTCGGATCGATCTGAGATGAGAGGTGGAAAATGCGTAGCAGGTTTGGCACAGGTTTGTAAGTTGACAGACGAAGAGGATGTGCACGTGAGTTGAGATGAGAAACCGAAGAGGCGCAGGCGAAGTAGAAGAGGATTGTTTGGTTTGTTTTTTGACACCCTTGCGCCGGTACTCTGCCGGGTCTGCTGAATGCACCAGCGCTTCCAGGCAAGCCACTATAGTAGGTGAGGGGAGCACATCCATTGGTAAACAAATGAGATTAACATAGCGAAGGGCGGCCGTTTACGGGGGAAATGGAATCACTCGGATTGTGTTTTATCCAGTTCCAATTCAGACCTTGGAACCACTCTTTGAGAATGAAGATCCAGGTGGCAAGTTGCCTATGCTTAGGGAACCGGGATCCACTGGGTAGATGGGAGCAAGTAATTCCCATATTCCCTGCTAAGAAGAAGCAGCAACTCCAGTCGCTCAACTTGCTATTTGGTTGGACTGTTCAAGCCAGCTCTCTCTCCCTCTCTCTCTTTCTCTCTTGGGAAATTCCCAGATTGGTGGAGCTTTGCTACTTATACCCGGTGCATAGCCGTACAAATTTACATCGGCGGTGCTTTTCAACCATATCCGTCATCCTTCAACTCCAAATTCCAGGGGCGAGAATGTTGGTGTGGTGCCTTTCTGATGGTTGCAAGAGCGCGCTTTTGGTTTTCAGGATGGTTGCAGGAGCCCGCTTTTGGTTTTCAGGCCCCGTAGCAGTGCTCCAACCGATTCTGAGGAGCCTTTAGGCACAGAGTCGTTTTGACTGGGGGCAGGGTATTGCTCTTTTCCCCAGGCAAAGTGGTCGCCCCTGATTAGGTGAAAGGTTCCCTTTTCATGCTGGTTCAAACAAGGGGCACGGGTGTTGCTGTTTGTCTGATTACAGGTACTCTTTTCGGTTGGTTTTATGGGGAAATCAAAATGGGACGCCAGTGAGATGTTCGACTTGGGTAAGCAGGTTATAACTATGGATACTGGGGTTTGCTGAGTAGGTTGGACCTGTTCGATCCACTTTCCCTTTCGGCTTGTGGCTCTTCAAAGCCGATAAACAGGATCCCAAAAGGCAATCCCGGTGAGTGGGTTCCCCCAGTTTGGTTTTCCAGTTTTGGTTTCCAGTTTCAGGCATTGCAACCCATTTTGGCGAAGCATCCATCCCCATCCCCCCCCCCACCCACACCTAGAGTTTGCAGACTGAGGGGTTCCGATGTGTTATCGACAAGGCGGGCAAGGCAAACAACCAGATCGGCAAACAACCAGATCACAGCCCACCTGAACAACACTCTGCTTTTATTGGCTTTGCTTTGTAGTGAAGGGGGTAACATTGGCAAACAAAAATCCATGACCATCAGAAAATGGAAGTTACTTAGCAACTGTCCATGTCAGGTGGGGACACTTGCTGAATACTGAGCGTGGCTCACAGGATTGGCCACCTTTCTCAGGACTGACCAGCAGCTGGACCTGGTACTTTGCCCGGACCTTAGATTGAGCGGCACTTTGCCGGTGAAACAATCCAAGGCATTCCCCACCCAGGATGGGTTGGTCGGTTTTTAGAATCTTGGAGGGATCTGATCGAAGGGTTCTGGCGGTCTAAGCGTGGCCCAGTTGGAAGGAATCCGAGTACATTCCCGAAAGGAAACTCAGCAAACATGCTATGCCGGGCTTCGAATCGAAAGTCGACGGGTGACACGAGCATTAATCGCTGTAAACACAAAACGACGATTCGACTCGCCCGCAAGACTTTAGGAAGTTACGGAACCTGTTTGAGGGGTGGAAACAGGCATCCATGTCAGTTCTTGTGTTGAGTCTTTTGCAGCACACCTTTTTGGTGGTTGCAATTTTCCGTGGCCATATCATGCTTACATACCCCGGCTTTTGCGGCGTGGGGTTTGTGCTGAAAACTTACCCCGTACTCCAAACCTCCATCGTTTCAAAACGTATACTATCATTGGATTGGGGCTGACATGACCAGATAAGAAGTGGGTACCAAACTTGGAGTGGAGGGTAGATGTCGCAAGCAATGCGTGCACTCGAAGCATCGAGGTACGAACGTATTGGAGCTGGAGCTATCGCTTCGCCCACAGCGACTTGCATCAGTCGGAGTTTGCCGTTTGGCCCTTTCTTTGGTGCATGTTGCTTAGATGTTAGGACTTTAACTTTTTGCCAACTAATTTAATGAGTTTCCAATTAAACCACTAAAAGCTAAACTTTTAGCAGGGGAGCAGAAAGCAACCGAGCTTTGTGAGGACAAAGCTTTGGACCCAGAAGTGTAGAACTCCCTCTCTCAAGAGGTCCCTCTCCATGGTCCTCCAGATTTCTGTCCAAGAGTCACAAGGCAAAATTTGAGCACTGGGTGGTAGATGGCGCAGTTTTTCCCTTCCAACCCTTTTGCTTGAGCATCCCGTTCTATCACAGTACAGGTATAAGGGGTATTGTGCCATTTAAGTTCAAGCGAATCGACCGGATTCGACTGTTTTCCTTTTTTTTCTTCTTCGGATCAATGGGGTTTGCATTCACAAGCAACCTCAAGGGCTGGCCTAGCATAAACCTCCCTCCTTGAGTTTGGGCTTTGCTTTACCAATCGGAAGTGAGTTGCAGCCTGAAGTCAAGGTGACCAAGTTGGATTTCGCCGCGCTTTCCCGGGTCGATGGTTGAGAAAGAAGCAGGTTCAGAGTGGTTGGAAGTTGCCCGTAACACACCAGGATGTTTAGGCAGTGCGCTGAATTGATGGAATTTTATTGGGGCCGGGGCATTTCAGGGTGAATATGGGGGTTACCAGAGGCTCAGGAAAGAAAACAGAAAAAAACAAATCTGAGAACTTGGCGTTCCCAAGTGCGGGGCCATTTTGGAGGTTCTTCTCGAATTTTCGGAGGCCGTCATTGGCCATGTTCTGTCGGGCGGCCGGCAGGTTTCTTGAGCTTCGAGGAAAATCAACGGGAACTCATCCCCATTTTTGATGCACCATTTCGAGACACGCATGGGTGCGATCGATAGTAACTGGAGTTGTGTATTTTCTGAAAAGAAATCCATAGAGGGTGAGTCTCGTGTTGTTTTTCCATTTGTCAGAGTGGAAAGCATCCATCCCTCACCAAGATTGCTGCGAGCCTCTAAAGACGATCAACTCACATGCGAAGAACATTGGTTTGTTGCCCTTTGGTGTTCCTTCTCAGTTGCTCAGTGGCATTTTTTGTCTATTGTTTGGTGGGTTCCACACGCAAAATAACAAACGCCAAGAGGGTCCCTGCTTTGTAGCAGGGGTTTGCCAGGGTACCCTCAAACTACCCAAAATTGGAAGTTACACCATATTTTGCGGGCCATCTGTATTTTTTGAGCATAGTTTGAGGTCCAGGTACGCCCTGAGGCATGGGTGTGTGTGCGTGTGTGTGTGACTATTCAGCCCCTTGGTCTCCACCAAAGGCCGCTCTTTTGTTCCTCTGCACCCTCAAACTACGCTCAGAAGCGGGCTTTGAGCGCATCATTCCGGGGTTGCCATCTCCAAATTTTAAGGCTAGTTCAGGTGTCCAGGCACCCTTGGAGCTGTATATAAATATATATATATATATATATACATATATATATATATTAATATATATATATATACACATCAGTTACATATCCTGAACCTGATTTTTGGTGAATTCCCTTTTCCCCGATCCCTGCCATGGGGTCCCACCCACGTTCGGAAGTTCGCTGGCTCAGGCTACCCATCGCTGGCGCTGAGCGTCGCGGCAGTGTCCTGCAGCTCTTTGTGCATCGTGCTCTACTTCACGAGGCGCCACGACCGAGCTCCGACCTCCGTGCTCGACAAATCCACGCTGCGAGTCGGAGGGCAATGTTTGAGTCGTGCCGAATTTCACCCCGTCCCTCCATCTCCTTGTTTGTTTGACCTTTGGGATTCACTGTGGTTTATCGTTGGTTGAGGTCCCCAAAAGTGAACCTTCTATTTTCAGGGCCCATGGGCTACTGGGCAAACTTGTGCAGCCAAACCATTTGTGTAGGTTTGTTGTTGAATGAGGAACGTGGGGGGAGGTGCGACGTCACTCAATGATGAAGGTGTGTTTTATTTGGGTCCCTTGATTCTTTTCAGTGGGTGAAAAAATATAATTTGCCCAGACTCTATGGATGTATATAATAGGCCTTTGATTTGGATAAGTCAGTAGTATGTCCATGGAGCGCTCCGCTTTCCACGCCAGGATGATGGTGCGCGGCTGGTGGTACGCTTTGCCATCCTTCCGCTGAGCCGCTGAGACGCACGCTCGATTCGAGCTGCTTTCATGCTGGGTGGGAGCAAAACAGCAAAGCTTTGCTAAATTTCAACGCTGGAAGCCAAAAGGGGATGTGTGTTTTTGCCGGAGCCCAAAGAAAATCATAGTGCATCAGTTGGTAGCAGTAGCAGCAAGCAGAGGCAGTGAAAGTAGAAGTAGTAGTAGAAGTAGTGGTAGTAGTCGTATAGTAGTATAGTAGCAGTAGTAGTAGTAGTAGTAGTAGTAGTAGAAGCAGCAGCAGCAGCAGCAGCAGCAGTAGTAGTAGTAGTAGTAGCAGCAGGTTGCAAGTGGCAAGTAGCATGTAGCAAGTAGCAAGTAGCAAGCAGCAAGTAGCAAGTAGTAAGTAGTAAGTACTGAGTAGTAGCATTGCGGAGACCGCATTATAGAAAAGGCGGTTGAATTTGGAAGGCAACTTGCTGCCAGCTGCGCAGCGCATTTTCTTTCACTGCCACGGGGATGTGTAGGAACGTCTCTGAGGGTGGGCGCCCAAAACAGCTCGAGTGGAGCAACCGATTTTTTTGATTGTTGTTGTTGGCGGAGGTGGTGGTCGTGCTGGTGCTGTTGCTGTTGCCGTGGTTGTGGTTGCGGTTGCGGTTGTGGCACTGTTCTTGTTCTTGTTCTTGTTCTTGTTCTTGCTCTTGTTGCTTTTGCTAATGCTGTTGTTGTTGCTGCGCAATCACAACTACATGGGGTTAAATGGGCACCGCATGTCCAAGTCAGCTTGGGCCAGCCTGGAACTTATTGTTCCGATTTCCGCCCCAAGAAAATCAGAAAGAATCAATTGAAGGCTCGACTTTAAACCGGGCCTCGGTTCCAGAAGTCAACTTCCCCCCGACTGGTGTTACTAGGCAATGGAATGGGAAGTTGTGCAGATCAATTCGGTTGCCACCTGCCACGGCTTTGGTCATTGTCACATTGATGGTTTTTAGGCCCACCAATTCATAGCAGTCACACCCATGCCTGCCCGTCCCCCTCGGCCCTCCCTCCTTTGCGGCCATGAGAACATTTTTTTTTTGACAGATTTGACAGCCGCAAACACGTTTGTGTCGGAGCCTTTAGGATTTGTCCACAATTCAGGGGCTCCTTTGCCTGGACCCTCAAACTGCCCTTTCAACACGGGACATCAAGCCATCATGTTGGGTTGCAGTATCAAGCAGTTATAAGGGTAGTTTGCGGGTCCAGGTGCAATTGTTGAAGCCCCACCCTCCTGGCTGTTGACATCACGACATCGCGAACCGAGCGTTTTCCATGTGAGGCGTCGGACTTGCTGAAGTCTGCACGGCGATGCCCAAAGTGTCACAGCCACGGTCAATATTTTTGCGCCCCAATGACATGCCCAGATTCCCAACTGTTCCGCATTCTCTGTCTTTTCAAGGTTGGGAAATGCCTGGCTTAGCCACTACATAGGTAAATGGCACGTGTTGAGCATCCTCCATTTCCGTAGAAGATGGGTGAAGTATGACAAGACAGTTTGTTAAGCATCAACAACAACTATCTTGTCAGGCATCAAGAAAAGATTTATTGCGATTGCTATTCCCAAAGCGACTGCGAAGAAGGAAGGACGGAAGGAAGGCAGGAATGAAGGAATGAAAGAAGGATTGCGTGATGCTGTCGTTTGCTCCACTTGCTGGGGGGGGGGCGCTGCGCAAAAAACTTATTTCTCAAATTCAAAGCAACACGTATCAGGCATTAAACAAATACTTGTTGAGCACGATTTTGCTGCAACACACAGTAAACAAGCCTGGACACCAAGCTATAAAAGAACAACATGTCAGGTTTCAACAAAGACACTTGCCGGGCATGGCCAGGGTTGCTTTGTTTCAGGTTTGTTTGCTATTGGTTTGCGGGGGGTTGCTTTGGGGTTGGTCAGGGTTGGCTTAGGATGGGTTCAGGCTGGGTTTAGCGCGGGCGCTGGGTGCTGTGTTTAGGGCGGATTTCGGTGGGCTGCGGGTTTTGCAGCAGAATAGTGCCCAATAAGTGTTTTGTTGGTGCTAAATGAGTTTGTTATTAAACTTTTCAGAAAGAACTTTGTTTTCTTGCCTCACCCGTATAGATGAAGGTGAATATTGACCGTTGCTCAGAGCTTACATTGTACATGATGGAGCAGGATCTCTGTTGCAAGCCGATCCCGTCCCTTTCGACATGTCAATGACACTGAGCCCAGCTCGGATTGCTCCGACCCTCAACACAATGACCGGTAGAAAAAAGATATTGGTCCTTTTGAGGGGCCAGCATGTTGTTTGTAGAGCAACCCTGTATGAGGATGCAAAACACGAGACAGCACACTTTCCACTATATGTTCGAAGGGGGCTGGTAGACAGCCTGAGGATCGCACAAGAGATCCGGACCTTGTTTCCACGCGCAAAGTTGGGAAAAAGGAGATGCACCCGCCAATCGCTGACTTTGGAAATGGGGTGATGGACTCAGTATTTTGTGGTAATGACCATCACTTTCATTTAGAAAAGACATGATGTAGGAAGGTACTTTGATTTGGGGTCCATTTGAGACCGGGTTTTGATTCTGACGCACTGTAGGCTTTGGGCTTCCAGCTTTTGGAGATCTCAGTGCGTCCAGTGCGCACAATCGGGAACCGGTGGTTTGTGTTCCAGGTTCATACTGGTTTCCCCTGCTTAGATTCTCCCTCGGGTTGTTGGAAGCTAGAACACGGGCTTGGACTCCACCATGGTTTGGAAGGGTTGGACCTTGTTGAGGTGTTTTTGAGCCAACTTCACCTCACAGCTCTCGCAGGAGACTTCCTGAATTCGCGAGAAGCTTCGCCAGGCTGCTTTGGACGGACGTGCAGGCGCATGAGGGTTCGGTCGAAATGCGTCGTCCATTTGGATAAAGCCCAAGTCAAGGAAACCCCATGTTTTTGTTTTTGATTTTTTCTCTCCGTCGACCCTAATTATCATCGGCATGCGTCAAAATATTTGGTGCCCCCCGAAAAGTGTGGGTTTTCAGGACCCTGCCACCTTTGGAAAACTGGGGCCCTGGGCCCTGGGCCACTTTTTGGGGCGTGTGAGGGTTTGCGGGCCGAAGGTTTTGAACTGGAACAATGAGAAGGTGGGAAAGATAAGACTGGGCGCTCAAAGTAGCCTTCAAAAAGGGGTATTGCCTAGAATCATGAAATGATGTCCCATTTGTTGCCGCTTAGTTTGAGGATCCCGCAGCCTTGTTTTTGGTCACAGGGTACAAGTAATATGTTTTTGGGGGTGCAAGCATCTGCGCTGATGGGTTGCAGCCATGCATGAATCACCGGGCTCTTGAGCCGTTGGAAGACAGGGGACATCAGTGGGACTGTGCCATCGGCAGAGAGCATCTCGGGCTTTCATCATTTGGATGCTTTCTTTCTCATTTGGCTGTGGGTCAAAGCCAATGGGATCCCATTTTGGGGTAGGTGAATTCACCACCCATTTTAGAACTTATTTGAGTGAGGATTGGGATGTTCACTGGCGGGCCATTTGTTGCGTGCTTTTAAAGGGCGCCAAAAGGAACACCCCAAAAAAATATAAGGGTCCACGATTTTGAGAAGCAACATTGAGTTTGCCCACACAGGGTTCCCCATGCCCCCTCGAACCATCACCAAAAAGAGGAAGTCGGTTGAATTGTGATGTTTAAGCACCCAACAGGGTAATGCACATATGAGTTTGCCATCCGCCGGTTCTGTAGTAGGTGCTGTGAGCAGTCGGTCATGGACTCTTTGGTTTCCAGAATGTTGAGGGACAGCCTAGGGGAACCAATTGGAGGAGCTAAATCATTACCAAAACGTTGCTCCTATGATCATGACTTAGTTAGGTTTGTAAACCACCCCACAACCCCATGAGTGAACCCATTGTTCAAATGGGCGCGTGTGTTGAAACATACTTTTCTGGTTTTCCCTCGAAACCAATACTGAAAAGGGGAACCCTGAGCCATTTTTTTCCGCGGAGGCCGAAAATGCCCTGCAAAACTTTCTCTTGACAACCTTGTTGGGTTTGCTAAATTTCAAGAAGCGTTTCGCTTGACATGAGTCAGCCTTTGATCGACCAAATAAGCGTCCAATCCAAAAGGACTTTCCGCTTCGCATGATTGATGGCTTTGCTGCAAAATAAGATTGTCAACTTCAAAGCACACTGACCCATATGGATGATCCGGGATTCGAGGGCTCACAGAAGGACTTGAACTTCTAACCTCAAGGTCGGTAACCCAGAAATTGGAGGGAACATGTCGGTCGCTTAGAGATATGCACATCTGAAACATTCAGATTGACAAGGGGCCCATTTGGAGGTATGCTAACGATTCTCTATGGAAGATACAGCCCAATGCACAAGGGATGGTAGTTGAAGCTTCAGAACCAAACTGAGTTAGAACGATGAAAATCCCGCAGCCCATGCTACTTAATGATAGATTTCACCCATTTAGGCAGACTTGTCCATAGGGGTAGTTGAAGCTTAGTCCCCTTGCCATAAGGAACTCGCTGCTGTTTCCACGGGTGCCCGTGAGCTTTGGGCACGGTTGGTGAACAGTTTGGTTTTAGGGCCACTTTCCTTGATATCAATCCCATCTCCTTAAAGTAGCTTTGGCAAGCAACAACTTTGGTATCACAACACATGTTAAGTCATGATACACATCACCGTGGGTTTAGGTATCTTTCAACGCCAGGCTTCGAGGACTCCTTCTGCGCTCCTGAGATTCCCTCTCGCAAAGAGTCTCACCCGTCCGATCCGGGTTACGTGCCGAAGCTTCGGAGAAGAGAGAATGGAAGGAGCAGAAGGGTAGAGGTGTTTTTTTCCCAAGGCCAGCTATCTCGGGCGGGAAACAAACCAATGCCTCATCCCCAACAGGAGTGAGTGGACGGAAAAGCGTCTGAAAAAAGCAAGGATCGCGCCTGGGCCTGCTGTACCGACTCCAGCCATCCCGCAGGCACCAGTTGGTAGATGTGCGTTAATTATTCACATAGGGTTTCATCCATCCCTGCCATCTGTCCACTGGGGT